CCGTTTAAACCATGTTTTGATGTGTTTACCTTGAGCCCCCTAAAAACTAAAAAACTAGGATTGCAGTTTTATGAGTTAGATGTCTGAAGTGAGGATAAAGATGGGAAATGGCATATTTTTAGCATTCATGCGTTGATGTGCAAAATTTTAAAAGTGATTAAACAGAAAATTTTTTCGTTTTTTGATTATATCTTATGAAATAAAAGCAAACTTATCAAGCATATGAATGACAGAACCATATCGGATTATGCAGTCTCGGTGAAGTCAAAAACATTGAATCCAACTTTGGTTGGGAATCCGGGGGGGGGGAGTAAATAGACCTTTGGTTTTAAACTAATCGGTTATGATGACAGAAGTGCAGGATATTAGGAAAAATTAGTCCTATACTACGGGATATTATAGGATATATTACTCTTATACTTCAGGATATCCGACACAGGATATTATTGGTTTTATATTGGCTGTGTTCTAAAATATATAAATACACAGGAAATGTAATAATAAAGCGACTGCATGCCGATACCAAAAATCATCTATAGCAGCTTTACAAAAAGTATAAAAATCTGCCATTATTATTATTTATTTAGCATATACTAAAATATGTTAATGGAGTAAAAAATAAATATTGCTTAAACTTCAGAATTAAGAAAGAAACAAAATTATGATTGTGCGGTTGACTCTTGATAAATTTGTGTTGTTGCACTTGTCTCTAGATAAATATGTGTTGCTGCACTTGTCTCTATATAAATATGTGCTGTTGCAGTTGTCTCTAGATAAATATATGTTGTTGCAGTTGTCTCTAAATAAATATGTGTTGTTGCAGTTGTCTCTAGATAAATATGTGTTGTTGCAGTTGTCTCTAGATAAATATGTGTTGTTGCAGTTGTCTCTAAATAAATATGTGTTGTTGCAGTTGTCTCTAGATAAATATGTGTTGTTGCAGTTGTCTCTAGATAAATATGTGTTGTTGCAGTTGTCTCTAGATAAATATGTGTTGTTGCAGTTGTCTCTAAATAAATATGTGTTGTTGCAGTTGTCTCTAGATAAATGTGTGTTGTTGCAGTTGTCTCTAGATAAATATGTGTTGTTGCAGTTGTCATAAATATGTGTTGTTGCAGTTGTCTCTAAATAAATATATGTTGTTGCAGTTGTCTCTAAATAAATATGTGCTGTTGCAGTTGTCTCTAGATAAATATGAACTTTAAAGAAGATGATAAGGAAGATATACAATAATAAAGTTCAGCACGATACGGATAAATAGATAGATGGATAGATAGAGGATAGCCAGAAACATAGATAGATCAAACAGCAACAAAGCATTTGGATCCCTGATGATGGGATTTGAACCGAACTTAAATGAGTACTAAAGAAAAAAGTCAAACACAACGCGTCCAATGAAATAAAGCTTTCCTCATACTTTGAGATGGGAGGCATGGCTAGGAGGTGTTAAGGTATTTTAAGTAGCAAGAATTTGGACTTTGGACGCATAAAGAGAAGGTAAAAGTTAGGAGATGGTCAATGTGGAAGCATATGGAGGCATGGAGGGAGGGGAGAATAGCATAGCTTGGAGGCATGGAGGTAGGGAAGAATAGCATGGTTTGGAGGCATGGAGGGAGGGGAGAATAGCATGGTTTGGAGGCATGGAGGGAGGGAAGAATAGCATGGTTTGGAGGCATGGAGGGAGGGGAGAATAGCATGGTTTGGAGGCATGGAGGCAGGGGAGAATAGCATGGTTTGAAGGCATGGAGGGAGGGGAGAATAGCATAGCTTGGAGGCATGGAGGGAGGGAAGAATAGCACGGTTTGGAGGCATGGAGGGAGGGGAGAATAGCATGGTTTGGAGGCATGGAGGGANTTTGGAGGCATTGAGAAAGGCATGGAGGGAGGGGAGTTTAGCATGATTTAGAGGCATGGAGGGAGAGAGAATATCATGGTTTGGAGGCATGGAGGGAGTGGAGAAAATCATGTTAACGGGGCACGGAGGGAGGGGAGTATAGCATGATTTGGAGGCATGGAGGGAGAAGGATAGTGTGGATAGAATGGTTTTAAGAAATAAATATATATTGTTTACAAATGAATAATGGAATGAAAACAATTTGTTAATTTTGAGTTAAAGTTAAAGGTTAAAATTAGCTTCCTGACTCCCTACTGAGAAGTGAATAAACTGGTTTAGAAGATACAGGATTTATTCTGAAATATCAACAAGAAATATTCTAGTCATATTATCAGAATATTGCTTACTGCTTTTTCAAATTAGTTTAGAGATAAAAACGAAACATATGTGATATGAATAGATTGGGTGTGTAACGGCATCTAAGTTAACTCCATGATATCTCAGTTAACTTAATGGTTTCTGAGTTAACTCAATGGTTTCTGAGTTAGCTCTGCATGATATCTGAGTTATCTCCAAGATATTTTAGTTATTTGAGTTTTGAGTTCATGATATCTGAGTTGACTCCCTGATATATCTTCGAGTTAACTCCCTGATATCTGAGTTGACTCCCTGATATATCAGTTAGCTCCATGATATCCGAGTTAACATAATAGTATCTGAGTTATTTAAGTTCTGAGTTCCAAAATATCTGATTTAAATCAATGATATCTGAGTTAAATCCGTGATATTTGAGTTCGCTTTTAGCTAGTTAGTAATAATCAAGGTTTTTTGTTGACGCAAAGTTCAGCTCAAAATTTTAATGATCAGTGCAATGTCAGATCCATGAAAGGTATAGATATCAACAAGTTGCATGCAGCTAGGAAGAAGAAACATGTTGAGCGTACAGGCTCTTTAAATCAAAGTGTTTTCAAGATTAGCTGATGAATGGATGATCTGAAGACCCATTAAGGTGCAAAATATCTGACCTTGTATAACCTGCAGTTTTCAAGGTCAAATATATACTTTTAACAGACTTATACGGTGGAAGCTATTAACACTAAAAAACTGAGAAGGTATTAAATAAACCTTCAAATAATAAACATTGAATTCCTTTAATACTCGTATTCACACAGCAGATTCTTCAAAGATTACTGGCAAGGCACTAAAAATTCAACCCCCGTAAAATCTATCTTATCGCGTTTTGTGAGAAAAAGTTTTACCTCAAACTTTAAATGCCAAATTAAAGAATCTTGCTTTGCCATAACATTGTACACGTAGCTAATATATTATAATAGCTATTTAAGTAAGGAATTAGTGAGATAGAAAGCTAAGGAATGTTGATTGTGCATAAAAAAGACAATTAATTGATAATCAAACCAGTTCGCATTATGACTGGTTAGATTAATAGTATGATTTATATATATGAACAGGGTGAGGGCTAAACAGTTACTATCTAAGGATGAGATTTCAGAGATGGCTGTATGAAATGTACCCAGTCTTTACTTTAAAGTTGTTTCTTTCTTTGCTAAATTATAAATTACTATTAGTTCCCCAATCATAAGTTGAGGCAAATGATTCATTCATTCATTCATATATTTATTCAACTACAAAGCATGAGATATTACAAATAAGCAATCACAACAATCTTATGAGTTTTGGACGGACACATAAATAAATAGACAGAAAACCAGAGATTACTACTTCATATAAATTGATATAATCTAAAACTGTATGCAAAAACAGAAAACAAAATTTAGCCCTTAGTTTGTTATGATTTTAGAGTTGTAGGTCGTAATCACGCACCTTTGCCCCTTTAGTAAAAGTAAATTCAACCTATATGAAGCATAAAGTCTGCCCGCGTCAACCTTATTGCACTGGCTAGTCCTGTTGATTGTCTTCATTATTAACCCAATGTCCGTGCGGTGCAGTTCAAACTGGGACCGGAAAGGTTGACCCGGATCGGAAATTCAAATGTACTACGGCTGCCCGTGTTATTAAAGTCTCATTCTTTGTGGGTAAATCTGTAGGCTGAAGCAAATATATAATTACTCCAAGGAAGTAAAAGGAAGACTGTTCAAAAAAATAAAAAATTCTTTATAATGTTTTGGAAATCCTCCAATGAAAACAAAAAGATTCTTTTAAAATTGTTGACAAAAAGGCAAGATTATTACAATGAATAGGCGCCCTGTAAACATGGTTAACATATACTGATGATATGATTAAGAAAGGTAGCTTGTATACGGAAAGGTAATTAATATGATTAAGAAAGGTAGCTTGTATACGGAAAGGTAATTAATATGATTAAGAAAGGTAGCTTGTATACGGAAAGGTATAAGAAAGGTAGCTTGTATACGGAAAGGTAATTAATATGATTAAGAAAGGTAGCTTGTATACGGAAAGGTAGTTAATAAGTGCTGGGTTTCGAGCCAATAATATGTCCTTGATGAAGATATTATAGTTCCTTACACCCATCTTTGTTAATTTTAGATACAGAGGCCAACTTTAATACGGGTGGAAGAGGGAGGTTCAGTTGCCGAACTTTATTGGGAAGGGGGGGGGGGTGAAGTATTCATATTTGATAATAGATAGAGTCCCAAAAGTAGGTGTATTGACAAGAAAAGGTAAAGGGGGGGGGATTAAGAAGTCAACGCATGATTTTGGTTTTACACAAGCATATTTATCTACCTATCTAATATCTATCTATCTATTTATCTATAACCTTGAATGTATACTTCAAGGATGCGCTATATCTGTCAACAGTACATTTTATAGATGGTTTATGTATATATATATATATTTGTAAACAGATCTGCGTCAGTGATCATAATTCATACACGAACACATTTAAGAGATAACGTAATAGAGATTTTCAATTATATGTTAATATCCCTTCATTAATTCTTACCTTGATAAAAAAACATTTATAAAAGACTAGCTAAAGGGCGTTGCCCGTGGAAAAAATTTTGAAAAAATTTGAAAACATTTAAAAAAATATATATATATAATTAATAATATATATATCAAGATATAATTTTCATGCATGCTTGCTAAGGTGAAACGTGGTATTATTCAATGAAGAAATGTAAAAATAATTTTTTCATCTTTTTTTGAATTCTTCTTTTTTTCAGGTAATCTTAGTACCCCTGGTTCTAGTCTCATCCTCACTCAACACATCAGGTAGAAACAAACTACACATTAAGAGAAGTTGATTCGGAAATTCTTTTGAATTTTTGACAATTGTTTCAATTCCGATAAACCAAGAAAAATCTAAAGAAAAATTTGAGACAACATTTTTTTGGTAAGCTTAATTAAGTATACCAAATTCATATTTTTTCAAAATTCTTATCTTTTAAGCATGAAATATTTACAATTCACATATATTTCTTACTTCTAAAACTATGAAAACTATTGACAATGTGCCCCCCCCCCCCACCCACTGAAAAAGAACTATAAAGAAAAACTATTTTAATCTAAGATTTGTGAAATTCAACTGAAAGAACGAAAAAAGACTGAAAGCATATTTGATAATAAACCTTTTACAGCTTTTCTTTACAAAGCGTAATAGAATTAATAAAATAGTACGTCATACAATTCAATATAAACAGAAACTTCAGTCAAAGTTTCTAAAGGTCCCGAAAAAGTGCAATAATGAAATAAATGTATAGATAATCTTTATTTGCATATTATAGTTATTCTTCACATTTCTTTACGTAATGTTTTAAAACAATATTTATCTAATATATTCCACAGATTACGAAGTTTTCAAATAATGGTTATTGATGTATAGTTGAAACTAGTTTTTGGTTTCAAAAAGGTATTTTTTCTTTAAAAAGAGAAAAAAAAGTTTGATTAATGGTGCTTCTACAATTTGTAAGAGTAGTCACTCCCCCCAGCACCCCCCACCCCCATTACAACCCCCTTTACGCCCTTGTATACCAGTAAAGCAGTATACCAAGATACAATCACATATCCTAGAAGACACCTAAAGTGTACCGTAGATACTTGGAACCATAAACAGTAAGGACGAATTGGTTGGATCCGTCCTGCTCAGGGTCGTGGTAGAACACATCCCAGTGATATTTATAGACCCTGGAGATATCTTACAGGATGGAAACTGGAAAATGGTTTATCTAATGAAATAAGACGTTCATGGCTAAATTGGTTATCAAACACCATTTTAAATTTGTTTATATCTTCTTTTTTACTCTTGTAGATAGATATCCGATAATTATTAATGAGTCTGAATAAGTTTTAATGAGTAAGACTGTAAGGTTGTAGATGAGTATGCATGGCTAAGGATGAGTATGCATGGCTAAGGATAAGTATGCACGGCTTAGGATGAGTATTCATGGCTAAGGATGAGCATGCATGGCTAAGGATGAGCATGGATAAGTAAGGGAAAGTGTACAGAAAAGATGGCCGCGCCGGGTACCCATGAGTTTTTTAGTACAAATAATTATAGGATAAATATGGATGAGTATGGATAAGTATGAATGACTATGAATGAGTATGGATGAGTAAGAATGAGTATGGATGAGTATGGATGAGTATGAATAAGTATGGATGAGTATGGATGAGTATGGATGAGTAAGAATGAGTATGGATGAGTATGAGTGAGTATGGATGAGTATGGATGAGTATGAATGAGTAAGAATGAGTATGGATGAGTAAGAATGAGTATGGATGAGTAAGAATGAGTATGAATGAGTATGAGTGAGTATGAATGAGTATGGATAAGTATGGATGAGTATGGATGAGAATGGCTAAGCACGGATGAGTATGAATGAGTATGAATGAGTATGGATTAGTATGGATGAGAATGGCTGAGCACGGATGGGTATGGATGAGTATGGATGATAATGGCTGAGTATGGATGAGTATGGATGAGTATGGATGAGTAAGGATGAGTATGGATGAGTAAGGATGAATCTGAATGTGCGTGTGTATCAGGGTATAAGAATAACCTGAACGAATCTAAAGTCAAGGTTTCTATATTCTCGAAGTATACTCGGCAACACTATAGGTGTATCCGACCCCCTGGTGTAGCTTAGGCTATCACGTAAACTCATCTCTAGTCTACTAAACAAAAGAATATAAAGGATATAGGAAGTGTTCAGGAAGTAATGGGTTGTACATACAAATTCTTTAGGAACCTTTGGGTCAAACAAATTTCCAAACTTCAGTATTCTAACTAAATATGTTAACGTTGGCAACTTGAATAATAACCGATGATTTCAAAGACAAATCAATGATCCCCCTTTTTAGTTAAAAAATGGAGTTTTTACTACAAATACAATTAGTAATCAGCTGTTCGATGAAAAGCACTATAGCTTGCGGCAATCTAGAGATCTAGTCATATGATGAGTATTTATTTTAGAACCCATTTTCACCCATTAAATGTAAATTTTTGATTTTTCTATATAAATACCTGTTTAGTTGGGATGTGTAATCTAAATTTTTAAGGTATGAATTTTGAATTAGATATTAAAATATGACTAAAAATATTTCGATACAGACAGGGTACACTCCGTTGTAGTTTTACGGCATTATCACGCCGAGTTTTTTTCATCAGACTATCAAACCCCTGGGCGTCCATATATCTTTCCTTACACACCTTTTCATCAGGAAGCTGAACTGATCAACTTAATTACTATTTTAGGGAAGAAGGGGAAGGGAGGGGGGTAAAGGAGATTGTCATTTTATTTAGTAAATTAAAAAAGATATAATATAACAACTTGAGAAATAATTAAGAAACTGTTTTTAATTTTGAACCTGGAACTACAAACTAAAAATTAAGATTATAAAACCAGTAAGTATCAAAAAAAAAAAAAATAGGAACCAGCAATTTAGAACCATTAACTGGGTAACCTAGATCTAGGAAGAACAAAGAAATGATCCATGGGGTCATGCGCCAGGAACTAGTTTTGGAACCAGAACCAAAAAACCGGGAATTAGAAACTGCTTAATTTATCGAACCAGCAATCTGGAAACAGGACCCGAGAATCAGGAACCAGGAAATAGGAACTAGTTGAAAGGTTAACCAGCTACCAAGAATCAGAAACCAGGACTAGGAACTAGTTAAGAGGAACCAGCCACCAAGAATCAGGAACCAGGAACTAGGAATTAGTTGAAAGGAACCAGCCAAACAGAACTATAAACAGGAATATGACTGGTTATAAGGGACCAGAAACCAAGAACAAACAACCAAGCACCAGAAACCAAGAACTAGTATCCAGGAACCAAGTTCCAGACCAGTCACAGAAGAAGTCAAGAGAAGGAGGCTAAGATGGTTGGGACATACACTACTCATGGAGCAGGATAGGATCCCTAAAATGTCACTGAGATGGACACCCCAGGGAGCAGGATAGGATCCCTAAAATGTCACTGAGATGGACACCCCAGGGAGCAGGATAGGATCCCTAAAATGTCACTGAGATGGACACCCCAGGGAGCAGGATAGGATCCCTAAAATGTCACTGAGATGGACACCCCAGGGAGCAGGCTAGGATCCCTAAAATGTCACTGAGATGGACACCCCAGGGGAGGAGAAAGAGAGGGAGGCCAAGAACAACTTGGCGAAGAAGCGTGGAGGATGAGCTGAAGACCGTTGGAATGAGCTGAAATGAAGCCTAGCTGTTGGCAAGACACAGATTCGGCCTGATTCTAAAACTGGCGAAGAGGATAAGTAAGTAAGGAACCAAGAACAAGGAACCAGGAACTACAATAAGCATGAATAAAAGCTAAAACATGTTTCTCATTTCCACTTCAGCTTCTCCTAAACATTTCCGTTATCCATGTAAAGGAAGGAAGGATTCAAGATGCATAATATTATTCCTTACTCATAACCTACACACAATTTATACTCTTCCTAATTCCTAACCTACAAAATTTATACTGTTCCTAATTCCTAACCTACACAATATACTATTCCTAATTTCTAGCCTACATAACATACTGTTCCTAATTCCTAACCTACATAACATACTGTTCCTAATTTCTAACCTACACAATGTACTGTTCCTAATTCCTAACCTACATAACATACTGTTCCTAATTTCTAACCTACACAATATACTGTTCCTAATTCCTAACCTACACACAATTAACTGTTCCTAATTCCTAACCTAAACACAATATACTGTTCCTAATTACTAACCTACATACAATATATTGTTCCTAATTCATAACCTACACACACTTAACTGTTCCTAATTTCTACCCTACACAATATACTGTTCCTAATTCCTAACCTTCACAAAATATACTGTTCCTAATTACTAACCAAAACACAATGTACTGTTCCTAATTCCTAACCTACATACAATATACTGTTCCTAATTCATAACCTACACACACTTAACTGTTCCTAATTTCTACCCTAAACAATATACTGTTCCTAATTCCTAACCTTCACAAAATATACTGTTCCTAATTCCTAACCTACATACAATATACTGTTCCTAATTCCTAACCTACACACATTATATTGTTCCTATTCCTAACCTAAACACAATATACTGTTTCTATTTCCTAACCTAGACACTATATCGTTCCTAATTCCTAACCTACACACTAAATTGTTCCTAATTCCTAACCTAGACACTATATTGTTCCTAATTCCTAGCCTACACAATATGTTGTTCCTAATTCCTAATCTACACAATATATTGTTCCTAATTCCTGACCTGTGCACAATATTGTTCCTAATTCCTAACCTACACAATATGTTGTTCCTAATTCCTAACCTACACACAATATATTGTTACTAACTCCTTATCTACACAATATATTGTTCCTAATTCCTAGCCTACACACAATATATTGTTACTAATTCCTAATCTACACAATATATTGTTCCTAATTCCTGACCTGTGCACAATATTGTTCCGAATTCCTAACCTACACACAATATTGTTCCTAATTCCTAACCTACACACAATATATTGTTACTAACTCCTTATCTACACAATATATTGTTCCTAATTCCTAACCTACACAATACATGGGGATGAATAAGGAAGTTTAGGTTGGGGTGTTACAACTCAAAAAGATCTTGAGTTAAAGAAAATAGATACTTTGTAACAAGCAATAGTTTTTAAACTAATTCATAAACAGAATTAAAGTACGATGTAGGAAAAATGAAGGGAAAACAACTTTTGTTAATTAAAATGTCCTGTAGTTAACTGGTTAACCGCAAACCAGTTACAGATTTTAAAATATATATACATATATAATCTGGAGGGATAGTTAGATTAAAAATATTGAATAAAGTATAATGACCTCAAATAGATGGTTTATTCTGAGATGAATTGAAATGGAGAATTTTTTTTCTTTTTTAAATGCAAAAAGTTGATAAAGTTTTTATCATCCAAATTTAGACAGAATTGATTGTTTAGTGTCGCTAGACTTTTGCCCCTTTAGTTATAACTTACCAATCAAGATAAAGTTTTTCAAATCTTGGGTATACAAATTTAAAGCTGTACTGCTTTTTTATACGCGCAAACATGTAAATATTCTCTTTATATGTACAGTGTACAGTATTTTTGAGTTCTTGTACCAGCAGATTATGAAACTGAGTCGTGTTTATATGAATGTATACATTTTAAATTTAATTTTGTGCATGCGATATAAATGTAATCAAATTTTTCAATGAAGTCTCTTACTGTAAAATCAGGAAGTAAAATTTAATCAATCTTTAATCCAATTCATTGACAAAAACCAGCATTGTTAAACAGTAAATACGTTTGGTCAATTAGGTCCACACACACACTATTAATAATAGAATTGATTAAATTAGATTCTAAATGCAAAAATAATATTTTTTATTTATATTTTGGCAACCTTTAGTATTCTAAACTGAAAACAAAAACATTAATAGTTCCTTATATTTGTTGGAGTTTATGCACAATTCTAGGCGATAAAAAATAAAAAATTAATATTTTTTATTTTCAAAATTTTTGATGATTTCTTTTTAAATCGATATTCTTTGAATGTTAACACGATTTCTTCAAAATAAGTAAAATAGGTCTATGTACAGTATACAACTGTACACTGCATGCAAGTCACAAGAACATGTTTAAGTGGATATTCATTGGACGATTTCAAATCATGAATTGTGTCTAACAGTCGTCTTCCTCTTTCAATGTTTTTTGGGCCCCTCTGTATTAATATCTTTTTTGCTTGCTGTGTTTAAAATTTGTGCATGTTTAAAATGTTTATCAAAATCATTATAACTTTATCGTTTAAGGGGTTCGATCACGTTATACTACACCTTTGCATAGAATATTAATTAATAATTAACATTATACTATTTTTATTTGTGATTATCATCAACTATATATTTAAAAAAAATATAGTACACAAACAAACAAAAAAACTTGATAACGACAGTTTTCTGAAATTTCACAAAATAGGTTGAGGGGGGGGGGGTGATAAAATAAATTAAGTTTTAGATGAGTTTAAACACCTTATATGTAAATACTTATATATCTACGGATTTCTTTAATCTAACAATCAATCAATAATTTAATTTAAGATACAGTCAACGAATTAATTTATCTAATTTATATAATATAAATTTTTCTCCAAATCTGATTTAGCAGGCCACGAGACATTACATAATGTATATCTATAATATAATACAATAAAACTTGACTTGTCCATCGGGTTGTTTGTCTCCAAAAAACTCAAACTAAACCAATTAAGCTCAAAGTAAACTGAAATATTTGCGAAATATTAGTTTTATGACTAACGACTGAAAATGGAGACTTGAAAAGAAACATTGATAAGGCTAAAATTGTTACTAGGAAAAGAAACGCAAAGCACCCTAAGATATGATTCAATACGATAAGAAATGAACTTTATTCTAAATAAAAGCATTCCCCTAAAGGCATGTATAATGCAGGAAGTGAGATGTGAAACAAGTAACTATATAAAGATGTTAGATAAAGGATTCAGTCCATCCTGCTTAGACCAGATTCAAACCAGTTACACTTGAAGGCAACAAAGTAACTATTCAAAGTGTGCTACTAAAATAATAACATTATACATTATACATTATACATTATACATTATACATTATACATTATACATTATACACATTATACATTATACATTATACAATATACATTATACATTATACATTATACATTATACATTATACATTATACATTATACATTATACATTATACATTATACATTATACATTATACATTATACATTATACACATTATACATTATACATTATACACATTATACATTATACTAAAGTAAAATAAATGTTTACTAACCTCAAATTCTTTTTTTCATAGCCCATTATCTTTGCAGCCTAATGTCGTAGACATTTAATGCTTTTTAAAAAATATCAAAGATCATGGTTCAGCTTGCTAAGATATTGAGATTGGAAAATTAGAGTTCACGACTTCACGACTTTTCTCTGATAAGCTTCTGTCCGGAAGTTTTACTCAAGAGTGTGAAATAAAGCATGAAGCATACAGATTTTGACTTCGAAATGAGACTTCCGAGAAGACTGTCTTTAATCTTCTAAACGGTCCCATGCACCGCATAACCTGTTTATTTTTGTCAAATCTCAAAGCCTAGAAAAAAATTAAATCTTCAGAGTCCGAATTTAAAGAATTTGAGCCGTGGCTTAAATTTAAGATGCGGCTTTCATTTGGTTGGTTCCACATAAAATGATATTCAATATTTCAAGATTTAAGCCGGCGCTCAATTTAAACCGGTTTTTGGCGGATTTGAGACGCGGCTCAAATTCATTAAATTCGGCCTCAGGTCGTCATTAAAGTTGGTGATAATAATAATTATAATGACATTTACGATGTAACAGTATTTCTAGGTTTTTCCACTCACATTCAAAACTTCAAGGTTAACTCATAAACCACTTCAGCTTAATTAAAATTTACACTGTACATATTCTAGATTTGGTGCGCGTAAGACGAGACGATAACACAGTAGAAGGTGGTGCAGTACATGATGATAGAAAAGTGGTTTGTTATTATGCCAACTGGGCAGTGTACAGGTAATTAATGTAACTGCGTCCTTAAATCAGGATTGCGGTAAATCATGATTGTGGTAAATCATGATTGCGTTAAATCATGATTGCGTTAAAACATGATTGCGTTAAAGAAAAATTAAAGATTCCGACTATGTGTCTGGATTGTCGAAATAAATAGCAAATACGTCGAATAAAATGTCGTTTACGCCTTTTTACTCTTTTAAAATATTTCAAGTTTTTTTTTCTCCTAAGATTTTGTGTTTGTAATTTTAATAATTCCAATAATAAAGCATTGATATGATAAATCATTATTCGGTCAATTCAATCATTTAAGATTTCACAATTATTTTCTAACTAAACCAATTAATTCAAATAATTATTCACTTCCATGTTTAGACAAGGTGACGCCAAGTTTACGCCTCAGAATATAAATCCCTACCTTTGTACGCATTTAATCTACGCATTCGGAGGGCTTGGCAAAGATGACACTATTCAACCTTTTGATAGTTATCAAGATATTGAAAAGGGTAAGATAAGACAGATAAATAACTAAAACAAATTACTAACATTAATATTAACAAAATATGACTCGAAACTTGTTATCCATATTTTGAATTGTTTTGAATTCGTTCGTTTTCATTCTATTCTGAAATGTATTCATTAATTTTTTCATTTATCTGAATTCTATTTCATCATTTGTAGCCATTTTATGTCAGCGGTAAGTTTAGAAAGGTAATAATTGGCTGCATGTACTTTATACTTCCAGAACGTGGTGAATGATCAAGACTCGAAAAAATTGTTTAAAATATAGTTTAAACTGATATCTAGCTATATTAGATAACTCAGATTCAAATGTACGTTTAATCAAGCTAACATTGGGATAGAATTTAAGGACTATGGAGCTGCTGAGCTACCTTCCACCGATTTAAATCCTGAATCACCCATTTAAATCTTATGAATCTTTGAATCTTTAACTTGAATCGATTATTCAGAAGTTGAACCGGTGATAGGTAGTTCAGCAACCTCTCTCCACTTTATAAAATTCCGTCCTGGTGCAATTATTTTCTTGTTTATCTATTTCTATTTGATTAATTTCTCCAGGTGGATATGGAAGCTTTGCCGCGTTGAAGACTTACAACAAGGAATTGAAGACGATGCTCGCCATCGGAGGATGGAACGAGGGGAGTACCAGGTTCAGTCCTCTAGTAGAGGACCAGGACAGGAGGAGGACGTTCATCAGGTATGACGGATTCCTTAAGTAATCAATCAATGAGACATTTAATAAATCAAATGTCAATCCATTTATCAATTGATCATGTTGTTCAAAATAATTCATTTCTTACATCAATCGATCTATTTTTCAATCAAAAAATCGCTTTCACTTAAATCTAAAATCGAATACTATATTATCAATTTAAAGGAATTTCAAGTGTCAATTTCTATGTAATGTTTATAGTTTTGAAAACTGATTATGTTCAAATCTGATTTCAAAACATGTTACCCATAATTGATAAGATAAATATATTTCAAAGATAACGTTTTCCATCCTTGCACGGAGGGTCGCTTGAAGTTGTGCTTACAGTACATTTAACTTTCAATTATTCTTGAATTCTGTTTAATGATTTTCAAATATTACAGATCTGCCATTACATTCCTTCGTCGCTACAACTTCGATGGACTTGATTTTGACTGGGAGTATCCAACCCTGAGACAGGGGGGTAGACCACAGGACAGGGATAACTATGCTCTTCTAGTCAAGGTGAGGAGAGGGGTTGAGAAGAGCTGGGGGGGGGGGGTATCCAACCCTGAGACAGGGGGGGTAGACCACAAGACAGGGATAACTATGCTCTTCTAGTCAAGGTGAGGAGAGGGGTTGAGAAGAGCTGGGGGAGGGGTATGGAGAGGGGAGGGATAGATCGGTCAATTTCTGCAAATCTCAAGGTCAAAAATCTGCAAGATGCGCAAACTGCAGAATAAAGTGGATAAAGGATAAGAATTCAAATATTTCAATTGAGAAATGTATATGGAGTTAGATAAAGGTTTTATACAGAGTTCTTGGAACAATATCATCTTGGGAATTCAAGCAGATTGGCAACAGAGTAGATAGGTAGATAAGTTGGTAGATAGGTAGATAGATGGGTAGATAGGTAGATAGATAAGTAGATAGGTAGAGAGGTAGGTAGGTAGGTAGGTAGATAAGTAGATGGGTAGATGGGTAGATGGGTAGATAGGTAGATAAATAGATGTGTGGGTAGAAGGAAGCCAGATAGGCAACAGAATAGGTATATAGCTAGGGGGAAAAAATTGATAGATTTTTTATACTTTTTAAACTTCTTTTACTGAAATTTTCAAGTCTTACATAATCTTCATTTAAAACACATTTTTTTCTCACTGCTCAGTTTTTATCCTTCTTTGGTTCTTTGGTTTCACGCTAACCCCCAATCCGTAATTAAATTAGTAAAAAGCAACCATATACCCTTCACCCCCATACACCCGACCATAGCCATTCTACTCATTTCCCCCTTTTACCACAAACTTTAGATGAAGAGGCAAATTGTTCTTACAAAAAACTTCTTGAAATACTTTTGTGTAGAATTTTAGTAAGTTGTAAAATGTCAAAAATAAAGTTTTCAAAGGAACGCAGATAAATGTTTAAATTATAAAATAGTTAACATGTGAAATTATTTAAAGATAATATGGAAAAATTAAGAAGATATCTTGTAAAAAAAGTAGCAAAGGGAAATTTGAAAGGAAAAAAGAATAACTTCTTAAAGAAGAAATTATACAGATTTAAAAAGTATAATCAATTAAACTTTGAAAAAGTAATCATTTTAGGGTTGTTTCTTAAAAAAGAAAAGATTAAAAAGATTTGAAAAAGCTCCGATCTAAAATTAGAAAAAGCTCCGATCTAAAAGATTAGAAAAAGCTCCGATCTAAAAGATTAGAAAAAGCTCCGATCTAAAATTAGAAAAAGCTCCGATCTAAAATTAGAAAAAGCTCCGATCTAAAAGATTAGAAAAAGCTCCGATCTAAAAGATTTGAAAAAGCTCCGATCTAAAAGATTAGAAAAAGCTCCGATCTAAATAGAAAAAGCTCCGATCTAAAAGGTTAGAAAAAGCTCCGATCTAAAATTAGAAAAAGCTCCGATCTAAAATTAGAAAAAGCTCCGATCTAAAAGGATGAAATAAAAATCATAAATGTCCGATGGATAAAAATCTATGCAAAGATGATATATCAAGGCAAGATAAGGATGCAAAATAATATTTGTTTATTCTCCGCAAAATGTTACAAATGGGTAACCTTGCATGCTTGTTTTCAACCTAACATCTCTTCTTCATGGATCGTGCAAATTTTTTTTACGTCAGGTGGATTATTTGAAATTTAATGTTTTAAAAGCAGTCTTTTCATATTCACTTCCTTACACGTTACCATCCCCTTCCTATACCCTCTCTACCCTCCTCCCTTTCAATCCAAACCCCCCCCCCCTCCACCATTTAATACCCTTTCCCCTCCCCACTTCCCGTTCTGTCCTTACCCAGCCTTTTGTCCTTCCTTTGTTTCATAATTTCCAGTCATTAATACCCCCACCCCTTCACCTCCCCAGGCTACAGCAAAGTCCCCCCCTCCCCCGACCCAAAATGAAGTATAATTTCCGTAAGAAAAGTGAAGCAAGGTTACTATTGGGCCACTTCCACAATCCGTTATTTATTTGCAGCCGGGCCATCAATAACTTCAAATAATATCAATTTTTAGAAATACAAATCTTTCTTTTTAAATATAAAAACCATAATAATTAAAGTATGGCGTGAAATTTCTAACGTTCATATCTTTATACATTTATTTGTCTTATCTTGATGTTTGTTTGTTGGTTGGTTTGTCTGGTGTTTGACAAAACGGCTGAACCGATCAAGCCATGATCTATGTGGTAACTCAAATGATTCTCAAAATTATTTTTTTGTTAAAGAAAGAATTGAAGATAGATCAATAAAGTTAATAAAGAGAAGGGCGCCAATCACCCTGTTAGCCAAGAAAGTAAATTTTAATTATATTTTTTTAGGAAATGCGGGAAGCATTTGAGAAAGAATCTGCTACAACCGGTTCTCCCCGTCTGCTCATCTCTATGGCTGTACCGGCCAGCCTAGAGTATGCCGGTCAGGGATATGATATCGAGAACTTGAATCAAAATCTAGATTTTTTCAACCTTCTTACTTATGATTATCATTCAGCTCAGGAACCAGCAGTTAATCATCATTCACCACTTTTAAGGTAAAATTCTTGCCCTAACATTTAAAAGATATTTAAGTGACAAAAAATTTTAATCTAACACACAAACTCCTTTATTTTAGGCCTGACAATTGGTCGGAATTCGATTTTAGACGAGATCTTAATATTGTAAGTTTATATATTTTTTTGTAATTTTGCTTTTCAATTTTTCAATACATATTACGCATTTTCAGTGAAATGACTAGATTTTTTGTACTGCTTTTGTCACGCTTCAAATTCTCCATCCATTAAAATGAAATTATCTGAATAATAAAAATAATCGTGGTTTGACATGATCAAACCGCATTTCTATTTACAAAACTGACAGATTTGAATTATTTTCAGGATTCTACAATCAAATTCTATATTGAACATGGAGCAAGCCGGCATAAATTGGTGCTTGGTATCCCAACTTATGGAAGGTGATATATCTTAATAATATTAAGACAAACAAGAAGTATCTTTTTCGATTTATTTTTGGTTTGTGCATTTTTTCTGTTTAGATCTTACACCTTGGCAAACCCAGATGCTCATGAGATTGGAAGTCCTACAACAGGCCCAGGGAAACAGGTAATACTAGAGAACTAAAGAACAAGAGAACTAGAGAACTAGATAACTAGAGAACTAGAGAACTAGAGAACTAGAGAACTAGAGAACTAGAGAACTAGAGAACTAGATAACTAGAGAACTAGATAACTAGAGAACTAGAGAACTAGAGAACTAGAGAACTAGAGAACTAGAGAACTAGAGTACTAGAGCACTAGAGAACTAGAGAACTAGAGGACTAGAGAACTAGAGAACTAGAGAACTAGAGAACTAGAGAACTAGATAACTTTAAAAAACTAGAGAACTAGAGAACTAGAGAACTAGAGAACTAGAGAACTAGAGAACAAGAGGACTAGAGAACTAGATGACTAGAGAACTAAAGAACTAGAGAACTGAAGACCTGGTGAACTAAAGAACTATAGAACTAGAGAACTGAAGAACTAGTGAACTAAAGAACTAGAGAACTAGAGAACTGAAGACCTGGTAAACTAAAGAACTATATATTCAGGGTCCTGGAACTAAAGAGGATGGATATCTGGCCTACTATGAGATATGCGTAAACATTATTGAAGATGGATGGAGTATAGGGAATCCGTATCCTGGTGTTATGGGACCTTATGCACACAAGGAAAACACACTTTTTATAAATATAAATGGACAAAAGAAATGATCATGCTTTAAAAAAAAGGATTTAAGTACAAATGGTTTTTAAAGAATCATTTGAAGAATCATGTGTGAGCTAAAAGGCTAAAAAGTTTTCTTGAATTTTTCCCTATGTACATGAGCTTCATAAATTTGTTAAAGAATATTTATTTGAATGATCGAAAACAATTGAATTGTTCAATTGTATTTATTAACGATGTTTGATTACCAGGGCGATCAATGGGTTGGATTCGACAACGTTGATATAGCAGTTGAGAAAGCGTTCTACGCCGCTGAAGAGGGGTTGGGAGGAATTATGTTCTGGACTATAGATAATGACGACTTTAGAGGAACCTGCAGTAAGACACCGTATCCTCTGATAGAGTCTGCTAAGGAAGCCATGTTCAGCATCAAATCTGACATAAAGACGTAAGTTTGATTTTTTGTCTTGAATTATTTTTCATGGAGGAGGGGGGGGGGGGGCACAACCCATTTGTTGGTTTTAACCAACAATTAATTTCCCAAATTATCTAAACCACAATTATCAATTGAGACTGGAATATTCTTTGGGGCTCCTGTAAATTTTATTTGGCGCTGTAGTTTTTTTTCTGAAAATAACTTTTTGAATTTTTCGGTCAACTGGAAAGGGGGGGGGGGTGATCCATCGGCCCCCCCCCCTCTGTATAAATTTACACTATTTAAAGCACTAAGAGGTGGTATCACCTTGACTCTCCTTCTCATTCATTTTTCTGCTTCCTTGCTTACAGGCTTACAGGTGACTGTGAGTAGTGACCCAATATATACAATTGTTAGGTTGACCTTGCTCCCTCACCTAGAGTACACTTATTCTTTATTCACATATTCACATTTTATCATTATTCACAGATCTATATCATATTATCATCTCTGTCTCCATATACTCAATTTACAAAGGTTACACCAAGAACCCGTCATGTGAGTCTTTTATAGCAATGAATATAAAAATATAATAATTTGTATGATTGCTTATTCCAGAAACTGCAGCAGTTTATTTCCTTGGTCAAAAAGATATCTAATCTGCTGTGCTTTAAACTTTAAAGGGACTGTAAAGGAAAAATGAAAAGGGGTATAGGCTGAAAGCTAATCACTTAGTCTGTATCTGTCAGTACAAGTGAACAGACAAGTAGAACCAGGTTAAGGTTGACCCAGGAAGAACTAGCTGTTCTAAACAAAAGGTTAAATTTAATACAAATATTAAAATGAAATGTTGAAAAAATCGTGATCAAATCCAATAAGAATACTAAATTCGATTTTGCAATTTTCGTTACAGTACTTCTGAAAAAGTGCGACTTTTTCACAAATGCATATTATATGAAAGAAAAGTTACTTTTTTAGATTTGTAATTTTTAATCTAATGGCTAATATTTTAATAGATTTTAGGTTTTTACAATGTTTGTATATCCTTCGTATAATGTCCTGCATGATACATTTTCAGTAATATTCCTAAAAAAAGGATAAAAATAAGGTTTATATTTAAAACTACTGCAGCAAACTCTAGAAGAAGAATGTTATAACCTTTTTTTAATCCTTGTAAACGTGTCCTCCTTCAAATCTTTAGTAGATATTCATGAAAATCTTTCCTGTTTTTACCCTGATTATAAAGAACTGTGCTCCTTTTTAATCCTGTCCTGTTCATAATACCTTCTCACCCTTTCCTGTTTAAAATCCTGTTTTTCAATTATCTTGGCCCCCATAAACCAATAGAATAGGAAGACGAATGTTAGACTCACGTTAGGATTTCAAACAGTCCAATAACCATGAAATATAATAATTTTTCCGTGTACGAAGTCGTACGTCACTGTACAGTGTACAGTGTTCACTGTACATAGAATCGATAGCATAATTTTAAGCTACTAACATAACCGTTTGCTTTGTTCAGGGAGTAAGGAATAGAAGGGAGATATAACTGACGCGGTTCGCCCTACCATATGATTATACATGCTTTGGAGACGGGTACTTCATTTGTATATGAAATATTTAGAATAGGTAATTGTATACGCGGTAATTGTACATCAGACAAATATTTCTTATACAAATGAAGTACCCGTTTGCAAAGCATGTATAATCATATGGTAGGGCGAACCGCGTCCTTTCTATTCATTACTCCCTGACTTTGTTATAACATTGAATAGACAAAAGATTGATAAAAACTTCGTCTTCATATTCCACAGTTTTATGGGTTCCACTGTATAATTTTTTAAAATCCTGGTTATCCTACATCAGCGTAACTTTTTTTTGTTTATTGTTGCTATATGATTCTAGCTGTTCTCTAGACTCCACTCTATACCTGGACTCTAATCCTTTACTCATGTACTTCTAAGATCCTGTACTCTTGTACTCTTGTACTCTTTAATACTCCTGTACTCCTGTACTCCTATAGTACTACTGTACTCATGTACTCCTGCACTCCTGTATTCTTGTACTCCTGTACTCCTGTTCTCCTGTATTCCTGTGCTCCTGTACTCCTACACTCCAGTACTCCTGTAATCCTGCATGTACTCCTGTTTCATTGTACTTATCTGCTTTTGAATTCCTGACTCATTTTCTTGTGTAGCCCTCATGAACATCGTTACAACATGAAAAGTACAATGTACGATGTAAAGCTCATCTTTTTTAATCCTCAACTCTTGTAATCTTGTTCTTTCCCTGTACTCTCAAGCTCTCCTGTAGTCATTATATTTATTCTCCTGTTATCCTTTTTGTACTCCTTTTCGATCTGTACATGAGCTTGTACAAAGAGCATTTGAATGTTTCTCTGCACTTTGATGAGAAGATGAAACCTCACATACACCCTGGTATTACAACACACTGCACTGCAGTGTGCATATGTACGGTTTGTACAAATAAATAAACACACTGAGGTATAGTATTCTTATGTACGGAGTGTACGGTGTACACTGTACAAGGGAAGAAGATTTACATCTGTAAGTATATTTTATAATCTTACTTTTTGCTCAGGGTTCTTTACTTTGGATAAAAGGGATCGATGTCAACACTTGTTGTAAATTCTCAATTATCATGTTGAAAACATCTATGCCAACAACATTTAGTACAATTTTTTTAATTCGGAATAAGAAGTCATGAACTTCAAGAAAGGTTTTAACTCCAAGAAGTTTTGAACCCATGAGCTTGCATGATCTTTCTAAATCTAACCCATTTCTCATCTTTCATAACCCAATTATTCGTTATCAACCTATTCTTCCAGAATTCATATTTTTTTCTCTTCCAGTCCTGCATACTCTTTGGTTTTGGTTCTATAGGAACTATCAGCTCATCCCTCTAGTTTATACTAATACTACATATATTCTACAGTTCGGAGAAAGGTTCTAAAACAGCCAAATCCTTGAACCGTCCTCCACCCCCTCCACCTAGTATAGGAGCAGGAGGAACTCCTTCAACATCAACCACACCAGCTCCACCAACAACACCTAGTTCAGGACCAGGTAGACCTTCGTCAATATAGAGGATAATTATTATTAATAATTGATAAATTTTTTTCTCTCACATATCTCACCTACCTAGGTACGTTGAAGATTTTTTTGTTGTTTCACTTTTTTGTTGGTTTTGCATTTATGACATATTAAGGAAAGATTCCGTAAATTTTAGCGACAAAAAGTTTCTGACTTAAAGTTTATAATCTTAAAATTGTGAAGTCATGAAAAAAAAATAATTTTTGTTTGTTTAGCATTCGAATGTAAGGGTGAAGGCTTCCAACCCCACACTACATCCTGTAAGAAATATTATTGGTGTCTTGATACACCAAGCCAAGGTAAAACGTGTTTTACAAAGAAAACTTTCAGATTTTTGAAAACCAAAATCTTTTCGAATACTTTATGGAAGCATGCAAAACGAAGGAAGGAAAATATTATTTTCGAAAATTTATTACAAAAATTATTTAGGATTGGTTGCACATACATTTACCTGCCCCAGAGGTCTGTTCTTCAATAGTATCACAGACGGTTGTGATTTCCGGTAAATAAACAGATATATGAGATACCATTAGTTGTAAATAAACAGATATATGATATGCCAGTAGCTGTAAAGAAACAGATATATGAGATGACAGTAGCTGTAAATAAACAGATATATGATATGACATTAGCTGTAAAGAAACAGATATATGAGATGACAGTAGCTGTAAAGAAACAGATATATGATATGACAGTAGCTGTAAAGAAACAGATATATGATATGACAGTAGCTGTAAAGAAACAGATATATGAGATGACAGTAGCTGTAAAGAAACAGATATATGAGATGACAGTAGCTGTAAAGAAACAGATATATGAAATGACAGTAGCTGTAAAGAAACAGATATATGAGATGACAGTAGCTGTAAAGAAACAGATATGTGAGATGACAGTAGCTGTAAATAAACAGATAAATGAGCAGTAAATAAACTGCTACATAAATGTTGTTTTGTGGAATTAGTATGAAAACTGTGTTTACTGTTTGTTGTACCTTATAAACAGGAAGTAAAATAGTTGATAAACTTAAAATATTAGTTTTTATATCCTTATTTATTGATTTATACAACAGAGGAAAACGTGTGTTTTATCTTTAAAAAGGAGGTAGACAGATTAATACTGGTTTAATGCTGAGTAACAGGAAGGAATATCATTTACATGAAATTTGAGTTTCAACTTACAATTGATAACTGTTTGATTTAGTTTTTTATTTTTAAAATATGCTTTAAATAAATTAATTCGTTTGATTCAATTGATATCAGTAAAAAGCTTATGTGCAAACACTTTCCATTCGAGAATTTATCAAATTTTGAAAAGAAATTTAACTAGCTCCGGCTAGTTCAGCCTCAGACTTAACCACCTCAGCTTTAGTTTAAGTTGATCTTGTCAACATACAAAGTAATAAGACCAGCCGTGGCTAGTTTAAAATCCTCACTTTCATTCATACATTCCGACCTCAAGTCTTGTAAATGATGGTAGGGTTAAACAATTTGTACCTTTCTTTTTTATTCCAGGCGTAATGTAGAGTGCGGAGAGAAGGAAGATATTGAAACCGAACCCGACCAGGAAGCTATTGATGATCAGGTTAGACATTTATTCAGCTCATTCATGATATGATGATGATGATGATAAATAGATAGATGGATGTTTATATACTTCGGCTAAAATGACAATTAATACATTTTTAATTTTATACTTTATACAGTAAACAATCACTAGCCAGTAGCCTAACCATTTCTGGTTGTTTTGATGATGTTTTGATGATGATGATGATGATGATGATGTTGATGAAGATGATGATGATGATGATGATGATGATGATGATGTTGATGATGATGATGATGATGATGATGATGATGATGATTTAGAATACTGTTGGAGCAGAACAGAGTCCAGCAAATGATGTCGATGATGATTCTGTTGAAGATCCTAAATCTCTGAGGGATATCCTGGAACTAGTGAAAGCAGCAGGTTTAAACCAGTTTCTTCTCTTCCTAACTTAAGATATTACACTAGTTATTCGATCATAATTTGCCCGTTTCTTTTCATTTTACCTTTTTCAATTCTTTTCAATCTTTCTTTATATGCCTTTCGTCCCTCCTCATTTAACATCACCTTTCTAGAGGTCCCCCCCCCCCTCACCCAACACCTGAACTCAACAATTCAAGCATATTGTTATTTCCGCTTCAGACACTCAGGCCACAGGCAATACTCTTCCAAGGCAATTTTCCAGGCATAATTGGCATTATTAACAGTATTCAAATAGAAGATGTAAAATTAGGGTGTAACTGTTTAGAGTACACAGTACTTATATTTAAATCTGACCTTCAACTTTATGTACTGGGTATAAATCTAAGCAATATGTAATTCCGCATACAGTTGCCACTTCTGCACTTTTCATAGATTCTTTTTATAATTTTTGGTCTGTAGAGTTGCATTGTTAAATGGAATTTTTTCTGTTAAAATAAATAATAGAAAAAGGGCGCGAAGAAAGACAATGTAAGAAGGATTATGTTTTGGATGAATAGAAGAATTAGAAATATGGATTAAAGAAGGTTTAAATCTTTAGGATGAGTAGAAGGATTAGAAAGATGGATTCAAGAAGGATTATGTTTAGGAGGAGTAGAAGGATTAGAAAGACAGATTCAAGAAGAAATGGATCAGAAAGTAGAAGAGGAGGAGAGAAGAGTCAGGTAACATTTATAAACATAAAAAATCCAACGACAACATTACAAACTGGGACCGGAAAGGTTGACCCGGCTCGGAAATTCAAATGTACTGCGGCTGCCTGTGGATCAGACAAAGCTTTCATCGGTACCGTTTAAATATTCAGGATCTCCAGTAAGACCAGAAATAGGTTGACTCAACTACTGAACAGAGGGAAACAGGATTTAGCAAGGTAATATTAAAGCAAACATAGAGATAATAAAAACATAGAATAGAGCTGTACTGCTTACCTCATCATTCTCTAAGCTGTATACAGTTTACATATGTATGAAAGGAGGTTTAACTTTTTGTTTTTTTATTTCTCTATGAGTTCAACCAATGTATATTCAATTAAAATACAAGAAAATAAAGAATTATTAAAATCAGTTTCCTTTATTTTGAAAAGATCTGCTGTGAGGATTGATATTTTATTAGTGGACACGAAAAATAACTGTTGGATATGATAAAAACATAGTTTAAAATAATTCTATCTTTACTCAGACTACTTCCTGTACTCAAAATACTAGTTCTGTGACCCTTCCCCCCAGTGGCCTTCCTTGCCAATTCATAATTTGCACACTCATGCATTTAATAAGCTTCTGATATTTAGAGTCAAGTTTCCTGCAGGGTAACCTTAAACATTCGGACCAAATAATTAATGGGTTATTTGATCAGAATCTGACTTAGAATTAAAATCTTATGTTTATCTACAATTACTAATAGACAAAAAAATTCTAGGAATGAGTAACACAGTAGAAATTAAGTTTTTAAACAGAATTTTTTTAAGTGAATCTGAACCTGAAAGTGATGGCAGTCCCGTAAGTAGCCCGCCCTCTACCCCTACACCTGCCCGCCCATCCTTCCTCTCTAGGCTGGCCAGTAAGAGGCGTACTCTCCCTACATTAACGCCCACTGTAGTTCCAGTTCCTGCGTAAGTTTCACTTATTGTTAAGTTTTTCAGTTTTTACTTGAAGAGACTGTAAGAGTAATCTAATGTGACTCTCCGTTCAAAGATATACATGCCCAATTTACAACGGTACCCTTGAAACCTTAATCTGATCAAAAATGTGGAAGATAACTTCGTTTTTTGTCTCGAAAAGAGTTAATTTCTGATAATTTCTCCATTTGTTTCACATAAGCAACAAGTGCGCAAGTCAGTTGTTCAGAGAAACCACAATTTAAAATAAACAGTTAAAGAAACAAAAACAGGGATATCAATTTCATACTTGATCAGTCAAAGGTTTTCAGGGTACCGTTGTAGATTAGGTATTGTTATTTTTGCATGGATGGTCACTTACAAATACGCTTACAGTCCCTTTAAATATTGAAGTATTGATGGTATAGTGTTGTGTATACAGTGTATAGATGAAAGATGCTAAACTACGAAGTTTATAAAGTTTATAGTAATTGCTTGCAAGGTTAAACCGTTTTCTCATTACTATAGAGACGAGAAGTTTAAACATTTTATTCATTTAGTATCTCGTAGGGTCACTTCATGTAGAGGGGTCACTTCCTTCATGTAGAGGGGTCACTTCCTTCATGTATTGGGGTCACTTCCTTCATGTAGAGGTGTCACTTCCTTCATGTAGAGGGGTTACTTCCTTCATGTAGAGGGGTCACTTCCTTCATGTAGCGGGGTCACTTCCTTCATGTAGAGGGGTCACTTCCTTCATGTAGGGGGGTCACTTCCTTCAAATAGTGGGGTCACTGCCTTCATTTAAAGGGGTAACTTCCTTCATATTGAAGGGGTACTTCTTTTATGTAGAGTGATTAGTTATACTTCCATTTCACGCATGGGCTTATGCTTTCCACTCATGAATTCCTCATTTCTCACTATACAAATATTTATGTAAGATCCTTATGATCCTATAGAATATATCTGACAAACTGAGGAAAATTAGAAAAGGTGCATGATGAGTCTATCCATATTCTAGATTAGATTAATATTTTTTTCTGTAGGAGTCCTGAATCCAATCCTACTCCTGAATCTGATCCTAACCTTGAATCTAATCCTAACCGTGAATCTGATCCTACTCCTGAATCTGATCCTACTCCTGAATCTGATCCTACTCCTGAATCTGATCCTACTCCTGAATCCAATCCTTCTCTTAGTCCTACTGAATCAACTACTGCTGGTAGATTAAGCCTATTCCGAACTAGATCTAGGTTCCGTCCTCAACTATCCTCTGATAGAGAAACTACTACAACCTCTACCCAGTCTCCCGTAACCATCCAGAACCTGAGATCCAGGTTCAGGTTCCAATCCAGATCAAACTCTTTATTCAACCGTCCTTCCTCCTCAACTCAATCTCCTGAAATTCCTGAAACTCCTAAAATCCTAGAAACCACAGAATCTCCTGAATCTCCAGTTACTCCTGAATCCCTTGAAACTCATGTCTCCACAGGTCTACCAGACACAGAATCAGACGAGTAAGTTTGATCCCTTTGCACGCTAGCCTTCCAACCAAGTATCTTGCATGTCCTATATATTCTTTATTAATATGTTACAAACATTCATTAGACATGTATCACACATGCACTATATTTTCAACCTAAGCCCTAATTTAACCATCATCCCTAGGAGTCCCCCCCCCCTCCCTCCTATACAGTTTGCAAGGTCTGTATTTATCTTGTTTATCATATAAACTAGAAACCTTGTAATTTGTGTAAATCTAATTCTTATTATTTACTCTCTTTTCATCTTCTATTTTCTACTTTTTGCTTAAAATATTTATCTATTTGTTTCCTTTGTACGCATTTTTCCATTCACTTTATAGTCAATCTTAAATATCTTTCTTTTCTATCTGTAATCATTTTTAATTAGATATTTGTTTTATTTAAGTCTTTTTTTGTAATTTTTAAATTCTTATAATGTTTCCTTCTTTTTATCATACTTTTAATATTTTGTTATTCCTTTTAATGCTTTGTTTATCATTGCTCAATGATCATCTTGCTGTATTGTCCGACATTCATCGATCAAGAATTAAAATCTTTTTACAACCTGGATTTACAAGGAACTATCACGTTATCTTTTTACAACCTGGATTTACAAGGAACTATTCGAAACAAAACATGGATAACTAATTGATACTTGATAAGACAAAGCTTTTCTGTGTAAATCGGGCAATTGCATTAAATTAAAATTACGCATACAGCCCCTTTAATTGTAATACTAGTGGTAATTATCAAATACACACTTAATGATAACTAAGTCTCAAATTATAAATCATGTATTTTCGGCCCTCACCCCCCCCCCCCCTCCTTCTTCCCCTGAACTCTTCAAAGAATGCTTGTTATCCAACATCGTAAGCATGTAACAGCACATCATCAGAAAAGCATTATTACACTCTAGTTTTAAGGAAACCAATATAGAGTCGGTAAAAGAAGATGGGAGCTAAATTGGGGTTTAGCTAATCAATGTTATGGACATTGTACAGGGATGGAGCTAACGAATGTTTTGTACAAAGAAGGAAAGGGGGGGGGGACCAAATGAATTTTATGTACATGGGTGGAGCTAATAAATATTATGTACAGAGGTGGAGCTTACGAATATTATGTACAGGGGTGGAGCTATATTATGTAAAGGGATGGAGCTAATAAATATTATGTACAGGGGTGGAGCTAAAGAATATTATGTACAGGGGTGGAGCTAATGAATATTATGTACAGAGGTGGAGCTTATGAATATTATGTACAGAGGTGGAGCTAATGAATATTATGTACAGGGGTGGAGCTAATGAATATTATGTACAGGGGTGGAGCTAATGTATATTATGTACATGGGTGGAGCTATATTATGTAAAGGGGTGGAGCTAATGAATATTATGTACAGGGGTGGAGCTAATGAATATTATGTACAGGGGTGGAGCTAATGAATATTATGTACAGGGGTGGAGATAAGATCCAGATAATTGGAGCACATGTTGAAGAGGAGGAAGAGGAACCACAATCCCTCCGACCTGGAGTTTTTAAACCAAAGGAATGCACAATTTAAACATCACTTCACTTCAACAATGCACTTTATCACAGATAACTCAGACAAAATAAGAGATGCAGTGATTTTGTATGTTTTAATCTCAAAGCATATTCATTAAAAAAAACTTAAATTGAGGGATTGGTACAGAGATACGAGAAGTAGTTGAACTAACTATGGTTAGGTATACTACTTTTCCTATGCATATAGTTTAGCTATCCTATACAAAGGTCTAATACTTCTCATTATTTACTAATACCGACCGCAATTGGTCGAAAACTGCTTAGTTTATTAGCGGCTTAGAAATTGTAAACTGTTATTATGCATAATTAGCTTCTAAAGAACTATATCTCTTGTTTTATCTGAACACAAAACACTTGAATATGTTTATGAAAAATAAGAGTACACCTACTCCAAACTGCCTTTTATTGCCTCAGTACACCTCAAAGAATACTTTTCCATAACAGTATTACCTATTTTTAAACGGACTGATGACGTTATTTCAAGTGAACCTTTATTTAACTAATAGCATCGCCGATTCACAATGATACCTTTTAATTCCTCTGAGTAACGTTTATCTATCTTAAAACGTGTTAAATTCTAACCTTTTCTGTCATTGTCTCTGTAACTTTGGAAAAGAGAAACCACAATTGAAAATTATATTTTTTGAGGAAAGATGAATATCTCAGTTATCATAGATCAGACAAAGTTAAAATGTACACTGATGAACAAGAAAATGGTTAAAACGTACACTGATGAATCAGAAAATGTTAAAACGTACACTGATGAATCAGAAAATGGTTAAAACGTACACTGATAAACCAGAAAAAGTTAAAACGTACACTGATGAATCAGAAAATGTTAAAACGTACACTGATGAATCAGAAAATGTTAAAAAGTACACTGATGAATCAGAAAATGGTTAAAACGTACACTGATAAACCAGAAAAAGTTAAAACGTACACTGATGAATCAGAAAATGGTTAAAATGTACACTTATGAATCAGAAAATGGTTAAAACGTACCATGATGAAACAGAAAATGGTTAAAACGTACACTGATAAATTAGAAAATCAACTTTTTAAATTTAGTGTCACTTGCAATTGCGTCCCCATTCCCGTTTTTTTTTCCCAATTATCACTTATTTTGAATGTGCATGAACGCACAGGAGGGTGTCCGAGAGCGCCTTCGTGAGACCCTGCAGTCCGTTCTAGTGGACGAACAGCAGAGACGAGCAGAGGATAGAGTAGAGGATAGAGAGGACGAATCAGGAACTGTTAAACCCTTTTCAACCCCAACTATTTCAAAGAACACCAGGTACCAGCACCCCACATGTACTCTCACATGCACCCCACATGTATCTCACATGTATCTCACATGTACCCCACATGTACCTTACATGTACCCCACTTTACCCCACCTACAAGAACCCCCCTGTAGGTTTGAAAATTGAGGGAAAACTCTGAAACAATAGAACAAAAATAAGATGCAAGTATTTTTGAAACCGTTTGTGCACTGTTACACTTTCACATTTTTAAATCAGCATCAACATTTTTGTAAACAGCATGCACATGCACATAATAAATATAATATCCCCCGTCAACGTTAATCAATTTTATCTACTTCCTTTAGTTTAAACAATGATATCAAAGATATAATTATGAATTGATTGTGTCCCCCCCCCCCCCATGTGTATTGTTTAAGAAGATCTGATGAGATAATCTAAACCAGGAACTATATATATATAAATATATTCCCACCGGTTTAGTTCTACCCATACTAACAATTCTTTCAGTTTTAAACCGGATACATCACACAGTTTAATTATACCGGATTTTTTAAAAAGATTACACAGGTTTGCCCAGAATGGTGAGACTTCAAAAATAATTTGCTTTGATTGAGTTGTATTTCAAGATCTTAAAGGGACTGTACACGTGATTATTTCAAGTAAAGGTTGAAATGGTACTGTTGTAAATCAGAAATGGCACTCTACAAATGGAGATTAACTTGAAATTATGCCTACAGTCCTTTTAAGAATAAAAATTGCGTAGAAACGTCAGACTTTTTCTGAAACTTTTAACTAAGATATTTTATTTTGTTTAGATTGGACGATGCACTGAAGAGTAGGACTCATCCTAGTAGAGTAGTTGGACACAGACAAACAGAGGACAATATTGAGGACAACAGGTATATAGAGGACACAGGATAGAGGACAATACGTCTAGAGATATTAGAATATTACTTGAGCATGTTCTACTAACAAGGGATACAACTTTTATGATTTAAATAAAAAGTTCCTTTTTTGTTTTGAGGAGCATTCACAGAAACTGAACAACTGCCTCAAACTCTAATTTTCTAATCTGTATATTGTCGCAACCTGAAGGTTTACCGCTTGATATAGTAGAACTAATAGTTTTAAATATCTCAGGTTGACGACATTGACGATCATAAAATCAGCGTTAAGTGGCTTAATTTAATGTTTTATGTTTATTGCAAGACAGGATTAGTTTGAAATATGTATTATGCTAGGCTTAAAGTATAGATTTTGCTTAACTTTTATTAAAACTCTTTTCTCGGAGATCAAACTAACAAGATATTTTCCAGTTACTTCACAGAGAGTTTAACGTTGAGTAGAGAGGTATCGTATCTACGTAGTTTACCTCTCGATGAAGAGGTGACATCACAAATACCTCTAAACAGAGGGCTTCCACCTTCTGCTTTAAATATCGCGAACCAACGCCAAAGGTGACTCAGATAAAAGTTCTCTCACATCTGGTACTTTTGCACTTTTGGCACTCCCGTCAAACCATTTTATCTTTAACACTTGTCCGTAATTATACATTTCCTCCATACTTCATCTCTTTTTAAGACCAAATAGGAGCGTTAAAATATGAATGAATTAGGATTTGTAAGAGAAAATGAGTACAGATGAGAGTAGCTGTAGGGCTTAAAGGGACTGAACGCGAAGTTAAAAAGATGGAAGTGCCCGATCTACAACGGTACCCTTTAAAACTTTGACTGATCATCGAGGCAAAGTCTATGATTATATCTCAATTTTTGTTGCCTTCTAGGATTCAAATATTTACAAGAGTTTTTATAGATTAATAAAGATAAATCTGACATGCTTTAGCTGTTTAATGAGTATCGTTGTGAATCAGACATGCTACTTTAAGGGTCACTTCAAGTCAATTTAAGTTTTTAAAAGTTCTGACATAAAATCAATTTCTTACTTGCTCAATCTTGACATTCCAACAACATCAAATTTTGTATGTAAAAATTAAATTTTACAATCTTTTTATTCTTCAAAAATATGCTGAGAACCAAAATTTTCTTCCCCCCCCCCCTTCCTCTCTTTTCTCGTGAAATATGCAATGTGCATAAACCCTCTATAAGCGATGGTATAAACCGTTTACATTATAAAAAAAACCATTCCGAGGGTGTAAAGTAAGGACTGAAGGGTTTATAAGTAATCAGAGTTGGGAGAATTTTGGGAACATGTCCCTGAGTCTTCTTCACAAAAAGAGCACTAAATTATTTTTGAATTAATGGGACTCTTTACAATTTTTAATTTATTTTTCTTGATTAAGGAAATCCGTAAAGTGGTTACAAAACTTTAAAATGTCATTAAAATCATAAATTGTAAGCAGTCACTTAAAAATCAAATACATGATAATTGCATGCTATATTTGTTAACTAAAAACATGTTGGTGTATCGTTCAGGGCCCGTAAACTTGAATATCAAGAATTAGACAGGAAACCTTTAAATAACCCTAGTATTGGGTCCAGGAGACCGTAAGTATAATAAAACATTTAACTTATTCTTCAAACTAACCCTAACAGCATGATTTGAAGTGACATTTTATTCAAGATTTCCAGATACAACTTCGACTAAATTTAAATAGTTTTTTTGTTTATGGGATAAATCGTGGTCAATTTCTTTCACAATTGTGCTCTATGAATATATTTTCCTTTACACCCGCAATTAAAGATACTTTTAATTGAAGGGTTACTTAATGATAATAATACTTTTATTTAAAATTAGTTTAGTATTAGCGATATAGTGACATAAATAGTTCCTCTTAGTTTTTTCTAGAATCTTACAAATAGTTTTATTATTTTTTTATTTTGAGTTTTTGTAGCAACATTTTTTCTGTATTTTGAATTAATTTTTTAGTGTTTTTTCCTTACAGAAGCATGGTAACCAATGCTAATGACAAAACAAAAACAAAACTTTTTTCTCATCTAAAAGTTTAATTGTTTTAATTGAGGCACAAAATAATTTCTTTTAAAAAAACTTTTTTTTCTAGATATGTAACAGTTGATAGAATACGAGCAACCAGTCCACGGTCTGATGAAACAGATCTAGGAGAACTAAACTTGGACCCCGAGCAGGGTCTAGATGAAGAGAACCAGGTTGGTCAGCATGCTCTAGACGATCTAGATAATCTAGATCTTCACATTCATAAACTAAGAAGATTTTCTCGTTTGAAAAGAGATCTTAATATTATTTATCCAAGTAATTCCCCCTCATTCTTCTCATCCCAATCCTCCCCCTCCTCCTCCTCCTCCTCCTCATCTTCATTCTCTTCTCCCTACTCATCCTATTCTCCTTCTTCTCCATATTCGCAATCTACTCCATTCCTTTCCTCTCCCACTCCTATCCCTGAACTATCTAATCCTGAACTCCTGAATGAAATATCCTATGTGTATCCTGAATCCTATTCTGTCCAAGATAATCCAATCCAACGCCTCTCCTCTACAGCCCTTCAAACTATTCCTACGTTCTCTGAAGAATCCGTCAGCTCTGATCCTACTCCTGAAACCTTGAATCCTGTAGATCCTTCCCTAGAACCAGTAGATCCTACACTGCATCCTGTAGACATTACACTAGATACTATAGATCCCATAGACAATAGTAATCCTTTCGATCCTACTCTTGATCCAGTATTTTCCTCCCAACCTGATGAAATACAAGAAATATTTGCTCGTTCATCAAATGTTCCTGAATCTACAAGTACACCTGAAACTGCCAACACAGAGGCGGATGAGTATGATTATGAGAATTGGTCTGTAGTTGTCAATGTTATCAAATCCGTCTCTGACTCTGCCACTAGTGTGACCCTCAGCTCCGACTCTATTGAGTACAAAACTCTAAGCTCTGATCCTACTGATGAAAGTACCTGGAGTAAGTTTGATAATGACACAGCTGCTACTCTTGTAACTGAAGTATATTCTCCGGCAACAGAATCATCTTCAGAAACTGCAACAATACCCTTCATTGCTCCACAGGAAGAAGAAACAACCCAGCAAGTTGATGAGAAGGAAGAAACTGTTTCTGAAATCAACCTGTTCCCGGCTAGAACTAGGTTTGGTGAGAAGCGTCCAGGATTTTTTAATCTTCAGCATCATGCCGAGTCTCCTGAAATCAAGAACAAAACTTTATCCAAACCTATTCATCCATTTTTTAACCAAATACGGAGCTCCAGCCATAATCCAAGAAATATATCCAAATTCTTTAATTCAACAACAATCTCTCCTTTTACTCTTGGATCTTCTTCAACATCAACATCCTTAGCTCCATCAACAGCAACATCAAGAGCTTCTCTGTTTGGACGGCTCAGCAGAAACAGATTTAATCCCTTTTCCACCAGCGGGGAAAACAGTTCTCCAGTAACTGAAGAAAGCACTGAGTTGATTGAAGCAAGTGAAGAAACTGAACCTGACAATTTAATCGAACCATCAACTGAATCTCCTGCTCCTAATACAACACCAGCAACTACTGATAGAGAGGAAACCAAATCTAAACTTTTGAAAAATCTTAAATCAAGGCTTAGCAACTTAAAGCGCCCCAGACCTTTCAGTAGAAACAGCATAACTCAAACAAAAGAGAAAGAAGAAGAAGGTGAAAAGGAGAATTCTGAAGATATAACAGAAAAGGAAAATGATATAACTGAAGAGGTGGATGAAGAGGAAGATAGTGCAGATTTAAATACTATTGAAGATTTAGTTGATAAACCTAAACCTAGTTCTGTTACAAGCCTACTCCGGAGACCGAGCTTTATCCGTCCCACTCTGAATTCCCTGACCCCACAAGAGTTTAAAGTTCCTGTTTCCTCTCCTGTTGAAAAGCCTAGACCAAAGCGGCTTCCTGCCCCATTTTCAGGGTCACGCAGTTCTTTATTTAGCAACAGATTCAAGAGTCGTCCAGAGATTACATCAGAACCTGTGAGAGCTGAACCTATTATTACTGAACTTACCCAAGATGACACCAATGATCGAAATTTAGATAAACAATCGGTCGGAGACTTGATTGCACAGTTAAACCAAGATGAGAATATTGATGAATCTTCAGCTACTCTCAGACCCAGAGCGTTTAAACCTAAATCTGGTGTGAGTAACAAGATTAGAGAAAAGCTTCAGGCTGAACTATCCAAGGATGAAGATGATGAAAACCTAAACGAAGAAGATATGGAAGAAGAAGATAAGGAAATATTGACAGTTCAATCATCCACAGAAGCTGAAACATCAGGAAGAGTTCTACATGCAAGACGGAGAGTTTTCTCTAGATTAGAGAGTTCTTCTACATCTCCTCCGCCAGTGTTCAACTCTGCAATTTCAAGATTTAGAACTCGGCAAAGATTACAATCTTCGAAGTTGTCCCCTTCCTCCTCCTCATCCTCTTCCTCTCCAGCTCCAGTAGTTAGTTCTCAGACTAGTATTACTGACACTACTGAGGAGATTTTATATTCTACAGATATTCTTGATATATTTGACCAGACCATAGACACTACTGAGGTTCAGGAGACTACTGTAGATACAATGCATGTTGGGGATATTGATTCTCTTATTACAACCATAACTTCCTTTCAGGTTTCAGATTCTCAGGACTCAGTGATGGAGCTGAGCACTGATCCTTCTCCAACTTTATCTCAGGTTCTGGTTCTAGTCACTCAATCTACTCTCACCACAGATGAAGATGCAACTACTGCTCCAGGTGTTGAGTCTACTCCTGATACAATGGAACCCATTCCATTCACAGCACCAGCATTTCTTCCTACTGTAGATCAAACAGTGTTTCTACCTACCCTGAGTAGAGATTCAGAACCTAGTTCTTCAGTTTCTAGTTCAATTACTACATCTGAGACGATATCAACTTCAACCCAACCTTCAAGGTCAAGGTCCAGGGCTCAGGTTCGTGGAAATCTTCGTACAGTTCAAGCAAACAATATTCAGACTGGTGATCAACCTAGACAGGATGAAGCATCTGAAATTCGTACTCCTGTGAGGTTTAGAGCAAGGGTAAGAACACAGCCTATCTCAGGGTCCACAGAGAACACTGAAAACACAGAACTGTCTGAAGTTCCCAGATCATCTGGAACTTCTTCTCATTCACCAAGAAGATTCATTTCCCGGACTAATAGTTTTGATTCTACTCCTGAATTCAAATCTGGGAGGAAACGGCTGAACCAGAACCTGAAAGTGAGAGGAAGAGGGAGATCAACAGCAGCTCCGGAGCTTCTTGAAACTACCCCTCCTGAAGTTGAACCTGAGCTTAAGAATATTGAAGAACCTGTTGTAAAGCCTGCCGGAGGTAAAGGTAAGGTTGGAAAGGATGTAGTTAGTACTGCTGTGGAAAATATATATACAGGGGAACTGCAAGTAGATAGTCCTGTAACAGTAGTTAGTACAGATCAGGAATTGGATTCAGATGTATCAACTTCTGGAACAAGAGGGTTTACACCTAAATTCGGAGATGCGACTAGAAATAAACTGAGAGAAAAACTTCTCCAGGAGCTCAACAAAACAAGGGAGTTCGGAGCTAAAGAGGGGTCAACAGAGATGCCTCTAAACAAAGCGGAGGAGGACGAATACAGGTTTATAGATGAGGTAAATGATCAGCCTAGAGAAGAACGAAAAGGAGGTTTCCGCCCCACTCCTCATTCTATACTTAGACCTAGAGCTCACAAGAGACCTGACCTAGATTTCTCCAGATCTGAAGACTACCAGGATCCAAGATTAAAGCGTCAAAACGATGATCTTTTTGTGACGGAAGCAAGTTTTTCTTCTCTAAGACGAGCCGGACGCAGCACCCTGGGGAGTCAGGGGTTTACAGAGAATCCTTTGAAACTTCAGGATCTAGAGGAATCATCGATTACTTCTCTCATTCAAGATAAGGACTATAATCCAACTGGAATTAAACCTTTCCTATTGAGAGGAGGGAAGGGAGAACGAAACCTCTTTCCTTCAAGATATTCAGAGGAAACTGAACACATAGAAAAATCGTCGAAACCTGATATTTATCTAAAATTCAACTCCGTCCCACAAAAAGAGTCTTTATTAAAAACCAAACCGTTCAAGAAGTTTAATCCCAAACTTGAGTTTGGAAGTAAAATGTTGAAACAATTGGTTGAGTCCGGATCAGGTCAAGTTCTACCAGGAGACAAGGTAGAAAACCTTCATCAGACTCTGCTTAGTGCTTAAACCCTATAGCTCTGCTTAACCCAGAATCCAAATCCTAAACCTTCCTAAATCCTTCTCCTCAACCTATCCTAACATCTAAATAGAAAAGCCGAGGTTTCCTAACCTATCTAAACCCTATCCTAACAATATAATTAGATCAGTTATTAAGTATCTCCGGATACAAAATTAAATGGTTAAAAAATATTTTTAAATTATGGATCATGTTCACACTTCTAGTTTTATAAATTATCTAGCCTAGTCATGCATAGATAATGCCTATACACCGAGTAATGCATGTTTTTTACATTACACAGTAGTAACCAAGAGAACTTTGTAATAATTGTCGTCTTTCTTATTTTTTTCATTCAGAATAATCGCGAAGAATTTGTAAAAAAAATTAATTTTATATTTATTGAATATTTCAAAAAGTTCAGAGCTGGGAACTTCTGTGTGGGGTATCGTTAAGCTTAAACGTTTGATCTCGATATCTATTGTGGGTAATTTAGAGATAAATTCTTTACATTATTCTGTAGGTCGACATATTTTGTAAAAACAATGCATGATTCAAAAGTTCGACTTCAGAGCACATTTAGGAAATAAATAAATTTAAATTTAAATCCTATAAGCGAGATTTAGTTACTTAAAAAGAAAAGAAAAATACTTTCATAATTCCTCAGTTTTCTTGTTACCACTCTACCTGTTTTAAAGATATTAAGAACATGAACATGAATATAGATATGAAATGCACTGCATGCCTACTTACATATATGTGAACAAGATCTTATGTTAAATAGCGTGTGTTATTACATATTAGATGTATTTAGTAAATTTTGTACGCCAAATCTAAATATTCAAATACTTACACGCAAAGATAAATTCGAAACAATTTGTATTCATAAATATTAAAACTGAGAAGCTGCTCTGATTATTGCTTTATAGTTAGATACATAGATAGATAGATAAATAGATATATTAATATATAGATACATAAAACTATCTTTATTTATGCATGTATAGATTTATAGATAGTTAGAAAGGAAATAAGATATAGTTTACAAAGTTTTGGTTTTATAAAATAGAAAATATGTCCTAGAAAAATGGTAAAGGTTGTCCTAGGACAAGTGTAGTGTAAATATAACCTCCGGTGTTCTGAAAATATTGGTCTATACAGTATACATAGTTTAGTTGTAGGATAACATACTGACGTATACAGTATACATAGTTTAGTTGTAGGATAACAAACTCACGTATACAGTATACATAGCTTAGTTGTAGGATAACAGACTCACGTATACAGTATACATAGTTTAGTTGTAGGATAACACACTGACGTATACAGTATACATAGCTTAGTTGTAGGATAACATACTCACGTATACAGTATACATAGTTTAGTTGTAGGATAACATACTCACGTATAATATTGGTCTATACAGTATACATAGTTTAGTTGTAGGATAACATACTCACGTATACAGTATACATAGCTTAGTTGTAGGATAACATACTCACGTATACAGTATGCATAGTTTAGTTGTAGGATAACATACTCACGTATACAGTATACATAGTTTAGTTGTAGGATAATATACTGACGTATAATATTGGTCTATACAGTATACATAGTTTAGTTGTAGGATAACATACTGACGTATAATATTGGTCTATACAGTATACATAGTTTAGTTGTAGGATAACATACTGACGTATAATATTGGTCTATACAGTATACATAGTTTAGTTGTAGGATAACACACTCACGTATAATTCTTAATCAACATGCTCAAAAATTTAATGCGTTCCATATGTTTAATGCTAATAGATTCTAATGTAGAAAACGTATCATTGTAGAAAAATGAAAATTACGGATAATCCTGCTCAAATATACTTTTTTCAAAGTATGCATTTAAAATTCTAACTTTGTTTTCCGTAAAGAATTACATCACGAATCACGATATATATATATGTATACAAGTTGCATGCTAAAAATGCAAATCAAATATAAAAGGCATTACACGCATGTTGGTAATTTTAGGTCATAATTCAGAGCTACATTTATCACTATGTTTAAGGAGGCATAATTTTGATGTTTCATCATTACAAAGAAATAAAGAGTTGTTACAATATTTACCACCCTAAATTAAGCTTTCGGTGTGTACTGCAGTGATTTGCAGTACACTGACTGAAGATATATATGTAGAGCTTAGTGGAGAGTGTTATGCATGTGCACAATATAAATCTGAGCAGCATGTTTTAGATCAAATAAATATTTCAAGGGAGTGTTCATCTATCTCAAGCAAACTTAAAGGATGTGTTGTGTTTCGAAGTTCGAACTGTTTAGTTGAATAGAATTAAGTTTTTAGTACAAACTCAAATTTTATTTTTCCTTAATCTTTGCAACATGATGATGTAAACCTTTGAAATTTTAAACTTAGATTGTTAAATTTCAAAGGATTTATAGTTTAAGGTCTACAACATTGGGTTGTAAAGATATGGAGATTTGAAAATCAGAGTTTGTGGCAAAAATTCAACTCCTTTATTTTTTAAAAAGAAACCAAGATTGAAATTAGTTGTAACAGATAAGCTTTATTTTCCACTTTTCCCCCCTTTTCAACAAATGAAAACTGCTTTAAAAAAGAACCCCTGGAATATTTATTGAATAATAGAATTATAATTAGTGAAGTGAACCTTTCATAAACTTGAATAATTTAAGGTTCAGCAACAAAGAATAAAAACTTTTTAAAAAATTCAAATTGTTGCTGGACTTTCTTTTGATAACAAGATTACAATGATTATTAATATAAAACCTGTTCAGTTATCAGACGAAGAAGAAGAAAACGTGTCAGGGTTCCTTCCAACCCTACCCAGTAATACAGTGAGTATTGTTATTATTATTATTGTTATTATAATTATTATTATTATATTTATTATTATTACTGTTATAAACTATTAATTTTCAGGAAAACAGAGATATTTCGACATCACAGCCCAACATACAGACACCAGATGAAACAGACATACAAACAACTACGAGCAGAGATATCCAAACAACAACATTTAAAGACCTAGAGACAACATTACCAACTGAGAATAGTATAGAGTATGAAGATAATGATGATGTCGATGTTGATAATAATGATGAGAATACTCCAGACTCTGTAGTTATCTCGACTACAGTATCTGCCCCTGTATCTCGAGGTCCCCAGTCCCCCCAGCTTCCAACTAGATCTAGAGATAGATCATTCTTCTCTAGGAACCAGGCCAGGAGAAGACCAGACTCCAGGGTTGAAACCTCTACTCAGGAAACTAGACAAGCGGAGCCTAGAAGAGAGGAACCTAGGAGACTGGAAGGGTTTCAGATAATTCCAACGAACGGGTTGGACGAGGTTAGGTTGGGTCAACAAGAGAAGGAGGAGGAGCTTACCCCAGAGCAAGTCTTGTTCAGGGTGGTTCAGGAGAACTTGAGAAACCCTGAACCTGCTCTGGAGATACCTAGTGGAAGAAGTAGGAGTCGAGCTGAGACGTCTACTCGGATACCAGTTCTTAATATCGCTGAACCTCGTCCTTCTCTAGATACATTCCCAGTACAGGAGACAGCCTTTGCTCCGGTAGCACCCAACACAAGATCCAAACCAAGGTTGAGAGGATCAACTAGGGGTGAGTTCGGAGATGTAGAACGTGTAGTTCCTACTCCAGGTGGTACAGGAGAGTCTGAGTATGAGTACTACTACGACTATATAGATGATGGAGAAGAGTCTGGCCATAATACTGATTATGATCTGGTTCCTTTATCTAACAAGGTAGAATAGAGTTCGGGTCAGGAGGCATAGGGTTGCAGTTTAATATTATAGGCTTTCAGGGCGCCTCGCGTTAATCTTTTTATTTCAATTGAAACATTTTCTTTTTGTATACATTTTAAAACAAAAACAAAGAAAGTTCGCAGATTTTACAAAAGAAATTTCGTGAATTTTCAAAATTTATTTAAAATATAATTTTGTTGGAGGCTAATTTTTGAAAGTTTGATCATCCATAAACCTTCCCTGGTACCATGTGAGGTCCCACACAAAATTTGGGCCTGACAGAAAAGTAAAGTATATAAAAAATAGGTGCATTATATTTTAAAAATTCCCATTGAAACATAGACAAAATGTCCTAATTAAAACTCTGAGAACTGCAGTCTAAAATAATTATAATTTTATAAAACTGAAGTAAATTTTATATATATCCTTGATGTTTATATTTAGGTTCGATTACTAGATGATGGATTAATCCATGTTTATATTTAGGTTCGAATACTAGATGATGGATTAATCCATGTTTATATTTAGGTTCGAATACTAGATGATGAATTAATCCATGTTTATATTTAGGTTCGAATACTAGATGACGGATCTCCACATTGTCTTGATGTTGGAGTTTTCCCTCATCCTTTCTCCTGTAAACAGTTTATTAATTGCTTCAGGGATATACTATTACTAAACAAATTCAGTTTCAATACCCCCCCCCCCCTCAAATAAATGAAAAATCAACCCTTAAAATTATTTTATTATTTTGTATTTACCCCTGAAACAGGAGTTCCAATATTGCCAATTGGAAAAAGAAATAAAAAATTGAAAGCACTAAAAAGACAGACCAAATTTTGAAAACGCTAGCAATAGAAGTACTTTGTAATTACAAATTCGAGAATTTTGCTTCTAAAATTATGTTGACGAATGAATGCCGCAAATTATTACAAAGATCGTTGAAATTCAAGTCGTCTCTATACTGTCATGTTTTGTGGAACACCCTGTATCTCTATATTTCATAACATTATTATGAGTTTGGTGTGAACTTTATGTACAAGTATATCTATGTACAGAAACCCTGGTACAGGAATAGTAGGTTCCGTGTACAAGTGTCCAAGTTATCTAGCTTTTGATCCAGTTGGAGGAAGATGTAACTGGGTTTCAGAGATAGTCTGCTCATCAAAATCTGGTTAAACGAATGTGCAAAAACATGTATGTACAATTCTGCTGCGTTGTACACTGTTCGTTGGGACAGTGCACAGTGCATAGCGTAGAGTGTACACTGTCCACTGGTACAGTCTACCCTGCATAGTACATGTCTGCTACAATTTTCTTCAAGACAAAGACACGACTAAACGTGAAGTTTAGATTTTTCTTAAAAACTAACAATCTTATAAATTGAATCAAATAGTAATTAATTTTGCCTAAAATCATACCTTATAATTTGACCAAGTACCCCCCCCCTCTCTTTATAAATTAGTGCCATGTTTGGTTAATTTTAACCCCAACTGCACTGGTCTTTATTATGTACAAAAGTATAATTACCTTAATTTTGTAACAGAGGGAACAAAAAAAAAACTCATCAAAATTGTTAATTTTAATCATTGGACAGGGTGAATGAAAACTTTTCATATTAAAAGTAAATTTCCATATTGTGTTATTATATTGTTTATAAAGCTCCTTATTGTTTATGTACTGCATGTGCTGTACAACTGTATTATTGTACTTTTAAAAATCTTTAAAATACAAAACCTTTTCAACGATGTAAATAAAAAATCGGGTTTACAAATTGTTTAAAATTCGGGTTTGTTAAGAAAATTTTGTCATAAAATTTCAAAAAAAGGTTTTGACCAATCATCAATCAATACTCTCTTAATTTTTCGGTAACATGTATGTTCTATATTATACCGGATTTATTTACATCCTTGGCATATATTTTTAAACCTAATCTGTATCAAATTTCCTCTATGTATTGTTGTGATGTCTGAAATATCTCTCATTATTAAACAGAATTATTTTAAAAATAAATCTAGTCAATGTTTATTTTCATTACTTTCATAAATATTAGTAATCCAAGTTAAAAAATATATCTTAATAAAGGTATTAGTGCACTTTTATCTGACCCTTGAATCTCAGTTTAACTTTCTTTCTGAAAGGACAAGAAGGTTAACAGAGTTCCGTTGTGAATCAAACTTACCATTCTTCAAATACGTACATGGAAACTGGAAATTAATCAAACTTACCACTCTTCAAATACGTACATGGAAACTGGAAATTAATCAAATTTACCACTCTTCAAATACGTACATGGAAACTGGAAATTAATCAAACTTACCACTCTTTAAATACGTACATAGAAACTGGAAATTAAGCAAACTTACCACTCTTCAAGTACGTACATGGAAACTGGAAATTACACTGTAAATCCCTTTCTATTTTATTTCAAAGTAAGATTCAAATAAACAACACCGTTTCTCAGGAAAGAAATTGAGTTTTTACCACACACTCTAATTTATAATAATTCTGTTGGATCAAATAATCTAAGTTTGAAAAATCAAAGGTTTACATTAAAAGCTTGCAGAGTTATAGGAAATAGAAAATTTGATTTCAATTCTTTGGTAATTTTCAAAGTCATATTTGAAGTTTTCGCGTTTATCAAAAACATTTAAGTTTATTTTAGGCTGATTTTATCCTGAAGGGAATTACATCATAGAAAATTATTTTAGCATAGATAGGATGTTGCTTGTAGGTGAATTCTTCTCTTCGTAGCTGCTTATCCCGCATATCAGAACTTAATCAAATACTAAAATTAGTACAAAAACTGGTTTTGAAAATAGAAATGTTTGTTTAGCTGACTTTTACCAAATCACAAAGTTGTATTAAATAAAAAAATTGTTTTAATTTCATTTTTTCAAAATATTTTTTAAATAATCACCATTTTCTGAATCTTTTTGAAAAAGCAAAGTTTAAAAATTCAAATTGAAGCTGGAACAACTTGGATATTTTTTCGTTATGAATGTAAAACAACAATGTCATTTTTAAAGGAAAAATGTGTTTTTATGATTTCCCAAAACAAGTTTAAACATCTGTTTCTTCAAATTACGAAAATTACGCTAAAAACATATTTCTATCTAAAAATGCGCAAAACAAACTAGATATGTGAAAATATAGATGTAATTGCGTTCAGAGTTAAAAACGTCGTTGTGAAAACTTTCACTAGAAAGCTTTTCGATGAGTACCTAAAAATACTTTCTGCAGAAATTGTCACAGTACCCTGCATTCCTGAAAATTTACAAAATATCTTTTTTTAAATAGAAAATTTAAATTAGACTTACAACGACCCCAATTAACTATAATTAAAAAATAAGCTTCAGGGGGTAGAATAAATGAACCTACCCTGAATTTGAAAAGTTGGTAGACCAGAAGAATTGATAGGACCAGGGAAAATTTCCTAACAAAAACAAAAATCATTTTTGAAAGTTTTAAAAAAAGTTTTTAAAATAGTTTTTTACCGAATGATATATACTTTGGAGAAAAAACTCAGCGGGAGCAGTTAAATGAGCGGTTGAGATCTAGCCTAGACTCTACACAGTTTAGAATAAAAAAGCGTTTTTTGCTTTCAACCGCTGGGTTCAAGATTTTTCAGCAACTTTTTTCCTTTTAACAACTTGCACTGGGTTGCTTATAACCACCATGGAAAATAATTTTTCATGAAAGACGTTTTCTTTCCACCACTGGTTTTAAAATTTTTCAGCAACTTTTTTGCTTTCAACCGCTGGGTTTAAGATTTTTCAGCAACTTTTTTGCTTTCAACCGCTGGGTTTCAGATTTTTCAGCAACTTTTTTGCTTTCAACCACTGGGTTGCTTTAACCACTAGAAAACAGTTTTTCATAAAAAAATTTTCTTTTAACAACTGGTTTTAAGATTTTTCTTAACAACTTTTGCTTTCAACCGCTGGGTTTAAGATTTTTCAGCAACTTTTTTGCTTTCAACCGCTGGCCTGTTTTAACCACTGGAAAACAGTTTTTCATAATTTTTTTTTTCTTTTAACAACTGGTTTTAAGATTTTTTAACAACTTTTTTGCTTTTAACCGCTGGGTTTAAGACTTTTCAGCAACTTTCTTCCTTTAAAGCTGGGTTGCTTTAACCAGTGGAAAACAGTTTTCCAAATAATGTTTTTTTCTTTTAACAACTGGTTTTAAGATTTTTTAACAACTTTTTTGCTTTCAACCACTGGGTTTAAGATTTTTCAGCAACTTTTTTGCTTTAAACCTCTGGGATGCTTTTATACACTGGAAAACAGTTTTTAATGAAAAACGTTTTCTTTTAAAAACCGGTTCTAAGATTTTTCAACACCTTTTTTCTTTAAACCGCTGGTTTAAAGATTTTTCAGCAATTTTTTTGCTTTCAACCGCTGGGTTTAAGATTCTTCAGCAACATTTTTGCTTTCAACCGCTGGGTTGCTTTAACCACTGGAAAACAGTTTTTCATAAATAATGTTTTCTTTTAACAACTGGTTTTAAAATTTGTTTACAACTTTTTTGCTTTCAACCGATGGGTTTAAGATTTTTCAGCAACTTTTTTGCTTTCAACCACTGGGTTGCTTTAACCACTGGAAAACAGTTTTTCATAAAAAAAGTTGCTGAAAAATCTTGAAACCAGCAGTTGAAAGTAAAAAAGTTCTGAAAAATCTGAAAACCAGCGGTTAAAAGCAAAAAAGTTGCTGAAAATCTTAAAATCAGCGGTCGAAAATTAGTAAGTTGCTGAAAAATCTTTAAACCAGCGATTGAAAGCAAAAAAGTTACTGAAATATCTGAAAACGGTTGTAAGTAAAAAAGTTGCTGAAATATCTTTAAACCAGTGGTTGAAAGCAAAAAAGTTGCTGAAAAATCTGAAAACCGGCGGTTGTAAGCTAAAACATTGCTGAACAATCTTTGAACCAGCGGTTGAAAGCAAAAAGAGTTGCTGATAAATTTGAAAACGGTTGTAAGCAAAAAGTTGCTGACGAATCTTGAAACCAGTGGTTGAAAGTAAAAAAGTTCAGAAAAATCTTAAAACCAGCGGTTGAAAGCAAAAAAGTTGCTGAAAAACCTTAAAATCAGCGGTTGAAAGTTAAAAATTTGCTGAAAATCTTTAAACCAGCGGTTAAAAGCAAAAAAGTTGCTGAAAAATCTTTAAACCAGTGCTTGAAATTAAAAAAGTTGCCGAAAAATCTGAAAACCGGCGGTTCTAAGCAAAAAAGTTGCTGAAAAATCTTTAAACCAGCGGTTGAAAGCAAAAAAGTTGCTGAAAAATGTTAAAAACCGGTGGTTGTAAGCAAAAAAGTTGCTGAAAAATCTTTAAACCAGTGGTTGAAATCAGAAAAGTTGCTGAAAAATCTGAAAACATTTGAAAGTTAAAAAGCTGCTAAAAAATCTGAAAACAAGCGGTTGAAAGCAAAAACGTTATTAAGGAAAAATTATATTTCATTTGTTGAAAATGTGAACGAAAAAGTGCGATTTAGCGGTTGAACAAATTGTAAATTTCTTATTAATTTTTAATTCTGAACAGCGTAGAGTCTATGCTAGATCTCAACCGCTCGTTCAACCGCTCCCGCTGAGTTTTTTTCTCCAAAGTATATATCACTCTTTTTTACCTTTGTTCTGTTGAATGCAGACTTTCTTGTTGCCAGGTTTAAGTAGGTTAGATCAATCCTAGTAGGTAGCAGCCAGTCAGGGGTCAACTCATACCTATATACAATACTACTAATCAGGGGTCAACTCATACCTATATACAATACAACTAATCAGGGGTAAGCTCATACCTATAACCAACACTACCAATCAAAGGTTAACTATTACCTATGATTATATTGAGTCCCCAGCCAAATTTACTGTCAGAGGTCCAAATTTTCGATAAAATCCACAAAAATCACAAGCACACAGTGTTTGCAGAAAGTATTTGAAATTTTATTGAAATTGTATTCCTAATCCAAAACTTGCATATTATGAGGAGCAAACAACCCCTTTAAGGATTTAAATTTTACTATATAATTAAAATAATATTTCCCTTTCAATAACAAATAAAGTTGATAAATCTTGGTTTCCTTACCTTGACGTCACATTCTTTAATCTATCATTCAAATCCAAGAATCCTGGATTAAAAACAAATTTTTATTTTTAATCAATCTTTATTATTCAAGGTTTTTTTGGTTACCTATAATTTCTTGTTTTCTTGAGTTTGTTCCCAGAACAAAAATCAAATTCGTTATTTCAATCGTATCTCGTTCTCTCATCCGCCTATATATATATACTGTAGAGAAGGTATTTCAATTGTATCTCGATCTCTCATCCTCCTATATATATATATATATCCTGTAGAGAAGATATTTCAAAAGTATCTCGTTCCCTCATCCGCCTATATATATATACTGTAGAGAAGGTATTTCAATTGTATCTCGTTCTCTCATCCTCCTATATATATACTGTAGAGAAGATATTTCAATCGTATCTCGTTCTCTCATCCGCCTATATATATATATACTTTTCATACGCCTATATATATATACTGTAGAGAAGATATTTCAATCCTATCTCGTTCTCTCATCCTCCTATATATATATACTGTAGAGAAGATATTTCAATCGAATCTCGTTCTCTCATCCTCCTATATATATACTGTAGAGAAGGTATTTTAATCGTATCTCGTTCTCTCATCCTCCTATATATATATATACGGTAGAGAAGATATTTCAATTGTATCTCGTTCTCTCATCCTCCTATATATATATATATATACTGTAGAGAAGGTATTTCAATTCTATCTCGTTCTCTCATCTGCCTATATATACTGTAGAGAAGATATTTCAATTGTATCTCGTTCTCTCATCCGCCTATATATATACTGTAGAGAAGGTATTTTAATCCTATCTCGTTCTCTCATCCGCCTATATATATATACTGTAGAGAAGATATTTCAATCCTATCTCGTTCTCTCATCCGCCTATATATATATATACTGTAGAGAAGATATTTCAATTTTATCTCGTTCTCTCATCCGCCTATATATATATATACTGTAGAGAAGATATTTCAATCCTATCTCGTTCTCTCATCCGCCTATATATATATATACTGTAGAGAAGATATTTCAATCCTATCTCGTTCTCTCATCCCCCTATATATATATATACTGTAGAGAAGGTATTTAAATCCTATCTCGTTCTCTCATCTGCCTATATATATACTGTAGAGAAGATATTTCAATCGTATCTCGTTCTCTCATCCGCCTATATATATATATACTGTAGAGAAGGTATTTCAATCCTATCTCGTTCTCTCATCCGCCTATATATATACTGTAGAGAAGGTATTTCAATCCTATCTCGTTCTCTCATCCGCCTATATATATATATATATACTGTAGAGGAGGTATTTCAATCCTATCTCGTTCTCTCATCTGCCTATATATACTGTAGAGAAGATATTTCAATCGTATCTCGTCCTCTCATCCGCCTATATATATATACTGTAGAGAAGATATTTCAATCCTATCTCGTTCTCTCATCCTCCTATATATATATACTGTAGAGAAGGTATTTCAATCCACTCTCATCCGCCTATATATATATACTGTAGAGAAGATATTTCAATCCTATCTCGTTCTCTCATCCGCCTATATATATATATACTGTAGAGAAGGTATTTCAATCCTATCTCGTTTTTTCATCCTCCTATATATATATATACTGTAGAGAAGGTATTTCAATCATATCTCGTTCTTTCATACGCCTATATATATATACTGTAGAGAAGATATTTCAATCGTATCTCGTTCTTTCATACGCCTATATATATATATACTGTAGAGAAGGTATTTCAATCGTATCTCGTTCTCTCATCCTCCTATATATATATTTATATATATTGTAGAGAAGATATTTCAATCGAATCTCGTTCTGTCATCCGCCTACATATATATACTATATATATACTGTAGAGAAGATATTTCAATCATATCTCGTTCTTTCATACGCCTATATATATATACTGTAGAGAAGATATTTCAATCATATCTCGTTCTTTCATCTCGTTCTCTCATCCGCCTATATATATATACTGTAGAGAAGATATTTCAATCCTATCTCGTTCTCTCATCCTCCTATATATATATACATTGTAGAGAAGATATTTCAATCCTATCTCGTTCTCTCATCCACCTATATATATATACTGTAGGGAAGGTATTTCAATCCTATCTCGTTCTCTCAACTGCCTATATATATACTGTAGAGAAGATATTTCAATCGTATCGCGTTTTCTCATCCGCCTATAGATATACTGTAGAGAAGGTATTTCAATCCTATCTCGTTCTCTTATCCGCCTATATTTATACTGTAGAGAAGGTATTTCAATCGTATCTCGTTCTCTCATCCTCCTATATATATATATACTGTAGAGGAGGTATTTCAATCCTATCTCGTTCTCTCATCTGCCTATATACATACTGTAAAGAAGATATTTCAATCGTATCTCGTTCTCTCATCCGCCTATATATATACTGTAGAGAAGATATTTCAATCCTATCTCGTTCTCTTATCCTCCTATATATATACTGTAGAGAAACTCTCATCCGCCTATATATATACTGTAGAGAAGATATTTCAATCCTTTCTCGTTCTCTCATCCTCCTATATATATATATACTGTAGAGAAGATATTTCAATCCTATCTCGTTCTCTCATCCTCCTATATATATATACTGTAGGGAAGGTATTTCAATCCTATCTCGTTCTCTCATCCTCCTATATATATATATATACTGTAGAGAAGGTATCTCGTTCTCTCATCCGCCTATATATATACTGTAAAGAAGGTATTTCAATCGTATCTCGTTCTCTCATCCTCCTATATATATATTTATATATATTGTAGAGAAGGTATTTCAATCGAATCTCGTTCTGTCATACGCCTATATATACTGTAGAGAAGGTATTTTAATCGTATCTCGTTCTCTCATCCTCCTATATATATATATACTGTAGAGAAGATATTTCAATCCTATCTCGTTCTCTCATCCGCCTATATATATATATACTGACTTGAATAGCCAAAAGTTAGTTTCCTGGTAAAATCGTTCAAGTGCGGGTAAATGGCGGAAGTAACTTTTAGTAACTTAGGGAGCGCTGGGTTCGCAAGCTGTTAGTTTTATACATTGCTTGAAAATCAGTTTATTATGTAAATTAGTCTGTGTACACTGCACAGTGCACAATTACTGTTTTTTTTAATTTAACTATTTGATATCATAATTCGAGTCTAACAGTCATCTTCATATTCCTCAGTATTACGCAATGTTAAGTTTCAGTATTTGTGAAGTGTGTTTAGTGTTACAAAAAAAATAGTTTTACTAGACATTTATCAATTCACTAATTTAGTGAAATGGGTCTGTTTACACTGCACAATTGCTGTGTATCATACCCATATGTCTTTTTAAAGTAAAAACTCAATTATAAAAGTCGTCGTCGTATTTCAGAGTTTTCTGGTTATCACTGTAGGTATATGAACAGTAGATAGACAGTAGAAAGACAGTAGATACATTTTTTACATTCTAAAATGGAATAGCTATATATTTTTATAACTTTAAAAACAATGCCGGCAAAATGGAAACAAAAAAAGGGTTAAAAGTTAAAATCTATTTTTATTTTAATCCCTTTAATTTATTTATATACTTGATGATTGCAGTAAATAGTTCTCTCTCTATAACTTGATCTGGACTCTCCTGCCAATCACTAACCAGGCAACCGTCCTATACAATACAAATTATCGCCTTTGTTCAAAGTAGTGGCATTTTATTTCTTTATCATTCACCGAATACTATCAGTCGTGGGGTTTTCAAATTATGGTTTGCCATTTTTATAGATGTTTAAAGAAGGGTGTCTAACGAAATGGGGAAATAGTTTCTCAAAAATGTTGCATTTTTTCGCATCTCGTTCGTTCGCTAAATTTCGGTTTAATCTGTTTCGCGAAAAATTGCAAAATTTTCGCGAAATAATAAATGCATATGTTTTAGAAGAGAAATTAATAATCATGATATAATAAAACTTCTAATGCTGAGCTCTCAGATCAGAGAATTACACAAGTTTTTTGCTTAATTAATTGTTTTTACAAATATAGTTTTTGTTTTTTATCGTGAAATAATTTTTCGAAAATTGTTTTCGCATTTTTTCGTTCTCTCCATTTTCGCGAAAATGTGAAATTTCGCGAAAAAGTTAGCAAAATACGAACGAAAATTTCGCTGGAAACCCTACTTTAAAGGAATTAATTGTTAGTACAGGCTTGTTGACTTTAAAAGTCACTATAATAAAATAAAGAGATCTAAAATGGATATTTCTAACATTTATTTAAAACGAAAGTTTTGAAATATTTGCATTTAAGGCGGAGTTAAAATTGGTTGATTTTGAAATTAACAAAGGAATTAATGATGGATATTTGATGGTACTTCATGGGAGTGTTGTAGAGCTTCATGATGGTGGAGCATATCAACAGGAACTGGGGCAACAGAGCTTATCAATGGAACTAAGGCAATGCAACTCGAGATAGCGGAAACTTCGGTCAGAGCGGTGCACAAGTTTCCTAAGTAAGCTTCTCAAGAAGTTAATAGGGAGATCAGAGGTATAAGCACTACTGCTGCTAGCTCAGTATCTGCATCGTCAGCATGAAGGAGTACTGCTGCTAGCTCAGTATCTGCATCGTCAGCATGAAGGAGTCAAAAGGCTCCCTGTGTCGGAGCTGTTACCAGCCCAACTCTCCTAACTTGACTGACTGGGATGTGTTATAGAGGAGTGAGGCGGGGAAAGAAGGAGCAAGGGTTACATGTGTTTACTTCATGGCAGAAATGGATCTTGTGTACACACGCATCTTGAGAAAAGGCTACGGCATTTGAGTCGGAAAAATCGTCTTCCTTATATTTGGAATTTGTTTTAACAAGGCTCTAGCATTAAAGTCTCTTTGTAACCCAACGTCGTAGACATTTGATATTTTGAGCTTTAATTTGCAGAAAATATAATTTGCAGACAGAAAATATAATTTGCAGACAGAAAATATAATTTGCAGACAGATAATATAATTTGCAGACAGAAAATATAACTTGCAGACAGATAATATAATTTGCAGACAGAAAATATAATAATATAACTTGCAGACAGAAAATATAATTTGCAGACAGAAAATATAATTTGCAGACATAATTTGCAGACAGAAAATATAATTTGCAGACAGAAAATATAACTTGCAGACAGATAATATAATTTGCAGACAGAAAATATAATTTGCAGACAGAAAATATAATTTGCAGACAAAAAATATAATTTGCAGACAAAATATATAATTTGCAGACAAAATATATAATTTGCAGACAGAAAAACACGGATTTGGAAATTAATTTTAGTTTATTTTTACCAAAATTGTCACATAGACAGTTTAAAAATATTGTTATATATTGAAATAGTTAAAAAGTAAAGAAAACATCGGGTGGGGTCGGGTCGAAAATGGAAAAGGGAGAATAAGAACGAATTGTAGAAAGAATTTTAGTCAACCTTAAAAACAACCAGATAATTTTGTTTCTGCAGTCAAAAAATGGTTAAACCAGAACTATCCAGCTAGATTAAACCAGAACCATCCAGCTAGATTTTCAAATGTTATTTAAGCTTTTCTAGTTTATTTTTATTTGGAGAAAATTTTAAATTGTAAATTTTACTCTCAATAATCCTCAAAAATTTGAAATATTAAAGTCTTTACTTGAAATAACTGGTAAAAATGAAATATTGCCAATTAATAATTTATTATGATCCATCATAGCTGTTCTCTTTTTAAATTTTAACAAACAATTCCTACATGAAATGCAATATTTTAACAATATCAGGATGTAAAAAAATGAATCCAAATTTGAAGGCAACAAATTAATTTGTTCACCTTACCTGAATTATTTCTTTATCAATAGGTTTAGTGTTTGTCCCAATGTTCTTGTTTCGTTTGTTTGTTTTTTTGTTGTTTGTATCCTTCATCCGACCAAACAGATTCCAAATCAAAGAAATTGAAAAGAGGAAGAAAAAAACAAAGGTTCGCAGTCCTGATTTTAATTTTGCATGCTATTTTTTGCAATACTGGGTTACCCGCAAAACAATGAGCCTAGAAAAACAACTTTTCAGAATCAATGCGCTTAAACTTAATCCTTTGGAACATGATGTTATTTATTTCGGTGAGACCAATTAAACTGTGGAATAGAAAGACGACATTTAAGCATTCCTATTTTGATTAATATGTAACCATAAAGCAAATAGTTTTAACAATTGCCTGAAAAGCAAATTTTGAATGATATGTTTACAGTGCATAATTCTTGTGTTTCATGTTCATTTGACTATTAGAAATCATAGTCTGATAGTCTTAAAGTCGTCTTCCTATTACACAATTTTATTGGTATTACTATACATAAATCTATAATAATAATAAAATAAGACTTTAATTGTAAATTTCTTGAATTGTTTTCCTTTTCTACAGAGGAATTTCTCAATTCTCCAGAAATTAATCTAAAAACAAAAAAAAATCTTTTAAAAATGTAATTTTTGCTGACAAGCAAAATAATTGTCTGCAAGAATATATATAAGATATAAATTTCTGAGAGAAAATTTTGATTTAAATTCGCGAATTTCAAGTTTCAAGCTTAGTTTTAAACCATGCATCATTCATAGAGTTGGTGACAACATTTTTTATCTTAACCTCTTAGAGTTGTCGCTTGCTCCCATGATTTGCCATCAAAGTCCCATAGGGTATCTTATATTCCATAGCAATATATTAAATCAAAGATTCAAATTTCAATATTATAAAAACTGAATGGTTTTCAGCACCAACTTTTAATAAGGGTTTCCATATTCTTTCGAAGCAATTTGGTTCCTGTGCCTACCGGAACCTTTCCTGGGCCTACCGGAAACTTTCCTGGGCCTACCGGAACCTTTCATTGGCTTACCGGAACCTTTCCTGGGCCTACCAAAACCTTTCCTGGGCCTACCGGAACCTTTCCTGGGCCTACCGAAATCATTCCTAGGCCTACCAGAACCTTTCCTGTTCCTACTGGAACCTTTCCTGGGCCTACCGGAACCTTTCCTGGGCCTACCGGAACCTTTCCTTGGCTGTTCAGAATGATAAAACATCAAACACATCTATAGCGGCACATTTCTTCACTGAGTTTTGTTTCTACATGCTAAGAAATCTTTGGGGGATGTTTATTGCAGATTTAGAACTGTAATCACTAAAAAGGGCAAGTTTAAATGTCGTCTTAAATCATAATTTTTACCTTTTCTGCATCATGAATTCTTCCCTAGAAATTGTAAGAATGCTTGATCTGTATCCTAGAAGCAGAATTAATCTGGCACTCTCAACATCCTAACATCAACTTTATTTTAGAGTTCAGAAGACCAGGGTTTACATCGGACTTCAAAAACCGTTAGACTTATTTTCTTGAATCGCATTATTGGCAATTTCTGCGGAAACGCTTACTTCAGTAATAACCAGAAAACAATGAAATAGGGAGGCGATATTATAGCAATTAAATTTTAAGATTTTTACACAGCAAAAGGTTTACTAGAACTATATCACTAAATCACTAACTTTGTGGAATGGGTCTATTTACACTGCACAATTCCACAATTTCATGCGCAGTGGGCTTTTAAAAGTTACAACTATGATTCTGGCTATTACCAATTGAAATCTGTTTAAAAAAATTACAACTTTAAAATTTCAATTGGTGTAAAGAGGTTGCAAAGATATAGGAATTAGAAAATTAAATTTTAATATCTTATATATTTTCTCATGTACTAAACCTGAAGATAGAATAGATCTTCTTGATTTAACTGTGTATCCAAATAATCTTCATAAGTAGCACATATCCGGACTAAATCATCCATTTTCCCAACACTTCAGGAGCTCCAGTTAAACCACTGAAATCTCCGGTAGATATATCTTCTTGTTTTACTTCCTACTGCTAAAAGTATTTTCCTACTGTTAGATGTATCTTCTTGTTTTACTTCCTACTGCTAAAATTATTTTCCTACTGTCAGATGTATCTTCTTGTTTTACTTCCTACTGCTAAAATTATTTTCCTACTGTCAGATGTATCTTCTTGTTTTACTTCCTACTGCTAAAAGTATTTTCCTACTGTTAGATAGATCTTTTTGTTTTACTTCCTACTGCTAAAAGTATTTCCTACTGCTAAAAGTATTTCCTACTGTTAGAAGCATCTTCTTGTTTTACTTCCTACTGCTAAAAGTATTTTCCTACTGTTAGATATATCTTCTTGTTTTACTTCCTACTGCTAAAAGTATTTTCCTACTGTTAGATAGATCTTCCTACTGTTGGAAGTATCAGCAAAACTACCCAGGGACTGAACAAAGAATAAACGGAAATCTATACAAATTATTGGTGAACAGGGAATACAGGGAAACACAGGACGGACAGAAAGAAGGGAGTATGAAGTATGACCGAAAGGGAGAAGGAAGAATGGAGAGTAGAATGTATAGGGAGATGGAGGAATGAAGAGTGGAATAAATTGGGAGAAGGAGGAATGGAGAGTAGAATAAATAGGCAGAAGGAAGAATAGAGAGTAGAATGGATGTAGCAAAAATCGTGTAAGCATGATATTCTGTAAACTGAAGTACATTATTAATGATTTAATGTTAGAAACTTAGACATAATGACATTATTCATTGAAACTGCGTTAAAATTGAATACTTAACATGATTAGCTTAAATCATGCAACAAACTTAAATTACGCTATAAAACATGTGGGGAGATAGCTTAACTGCATTATATCTATTCTCTCTAATCTTATAAATATGTACATTAAACTTTAACTGTGCGATAAGTTATCTTAGTCGTAGTTTATCAGATAGATAACATCCAAGATGCATGCGTGAAGAAACAAAAAGAGAAAAATTAACAGAATTATGAAGATTTTAGAATCATTGCCGAGAGCTTCATGATGTTTCAAGGAGAAAGAAAACAAGATTCAAGTCAAGAACAAATATTGCACAAGAAAGATTAGTAGTTATCAGGCAACAGCCAAGTCGTGAAACCAAAGGAATAGGAGAATGTAGATACTAGATACAACATTAACAGAAACAAAAATCAAAGGCAGAGTTACAATTACAACCCATTATGCAGAGAATGGAGCAAATAAAGCTAGATATACAAGCTATGGAGGCGAAACTTGTTCCACAGAAGAAAGTAAGAAGATATGTTCGTGAAAACTTTTTTAACTTCTCAGGGATAGAGCCAACCCCTAAATATCACAGAGAAACAGATCTAGAAAGGGATACAGTAGGAACAGCTAAGGAGTCAAATAGTAAAATATCAAATATAAAGAAAAACGACTGGACTCAAGATCAAGAGAAACATCAAGACCAGGAGAAACACCAAGATCTAGAACAAGAAAAATACCTATTTGGGCAAGATAAGGACAAGACAGAACGGGGATTAATGACGAGAAACCCGAGGCAAGAGATGAGGATACTAACACAAAGTCAGAGAGAGTACGGTACGGTACCATAAAGATAAGGATACTGCGCACATGGCGCCAGCACGCAAAAAAAAATGAAGGATTAATAACGGTCAGTTTTGATATTTTGTAAACTTGCAGTACATTGTACATTATAAATGATTTAATGTTGGAAACTGCCTTTCAATTGAATTCTTTACATGATTAGTTTAAATCATGTAACAAACTTAAATTGCACTATAAAAAATGTGAGGAGATAGCTTTACTGCATTATATCTACTCTGTCTAATCTTATAAATATATATACATTAAACTTTAACTGTGCGTTAAGTACATAATATGATGGTCCTAATTATATGTAATATAGATAACATCATAGGAATTGTAGCTACATCAATTCAATTCCTATTTCCTGTTAACTTTGAGACATAAGATATAAAATAAAGTTAGTTCTAGAGAGTAACTCTGTACTGTTTACTGTGTGAGAGTAGACCTGAAACCCTGAAGCTTGTATTCAGGTGGATCATCCCCATTAATTTGGGATCAATATCTGGCTTGTCGATATCTAGACTTAAACCCTGTTTTGAAAAGCTGGTCGGATTATCCCCAATCATTAGGGGATCATTCTATAGCTTGATAGCTAGGCTTGTGTCCTTGTGTGACATTTGGAGCGGATCATCCCAATCATTTCGTATCGACAAATAGCTTGTTGTATAGCTAGGATTGTCTCCCTGTGCCGCATTTAGAGCACTGATCTAATAGCTTGTTGGATAGCTACACTTGTGTCCCTGTGTGGAATTTAGAGCCAGGTGGGTTGTGTTCTGGTTGAACTAATAGCTTGTGCAATACAAGACTTTTAGCGTGAGTATAATTTAGTTATTCAGAGGTGGTTTTCAGAAATGAAGTTTCTTGGTCCCAGTCTAGCGTTTTTCGTTTTCTAAAAATGTGGTATGATGGTAAGCAAGGCTTGATAGATTTTCACACATTGCTTTGAAACTAACACTGGGTTTGCAGAACTTATGCAGTTTCTTTAGATTTGCTTTATTTGATGGTGAGATGTATCCTCTTGAGCCGATTTCAAAAGGGTGAACAGACACATCCCTAGTTGTAATATCTGTGATAAAATGTTCATACTTGTTCATCTTTTGAGTGTTGGCATTTTTTATATTTGTTTGGGTGGGGTGGTNAATATTAAATATCCCCCCTACACACCCTCCACTTCAATTGTAACAATATTTTCAAACTGCACAAAAACACAAAACAAGGTGTTATGTATATAAATATTAAATATCCCCCCTACACACCCTCCACTTCAATTGTAACAATATTTTCAAACTGCACAAAAACACAAAACAAGGTGTTATGTATATAAATATTAAATATCCCCCCTACACACCCTCCACTTCAATTGTAACAATATTTTCAAACACAAAAAATATTGTAGAAAATGTTAAAATATATTTCTTTTTGTCATGCAATTTCTGTTTACTTTCTAGCTATAATTCTTTTACTTGTCAAAGCTGTTTAAGGTGTCAAAGGTGTTTAAAATCATACATTTTCTTTTTTTTGTAGTTTTAGCAATAAAATTCAACCCAACCCAAAACTAATCATTTCACTTCTCTAAAGCATTATTATATTGCTTAATTTTCTAAAGTTACTTTTCCACAGAAATTTTACTCTCTGTTTCTTTTTTCTTTGACGAATCCAGCCATTCTCGTCTGAATCTATCCATTGCAGACTGACCTTCTTGATAAGCCTTTCAGTCACAGAGCTCTGCCGCTTTATTAATTGCAAATTGGCGGTTCAGTCCAAAGTAGGACTGCAAAAGTGGGCCCAGCTTGGATATTCGATTGCACACCAGTAGGGTGTGCCGCGCCGCCGTAAGTTTCGTTAATTTTATATCTGTTAACGAACGTATTTTTAAAAGTTATAATTTGCCCAGCTCTAGTAACTGTAATCAATTGAGACATCATGCTCTTAATTAGGCAAATTTGGTGCTTATGAAATTGCTCTGTCAGGATTATTTATATTAATCTATTTCGCTGTCTTTCTCTTACTTTATCAGACGCATTCTGACTTATGAGGCAGAAATTATTAAACTGTTTAAGAAAAATTAAATTTATTTTTTATTTTGGGATGTTAATTTGCGCTTTCAAAATAGCTCTCAGAAGAAAAGTAGCTTTTTTGACTTATCTATATGATTATTTGATCATATCAATGTTAAAGTTAAACTTTAATATTTTCTTGGTCTAAATACTATGTATCGATACTTAAATATTTTCCAGATGTTTTTTTACATTTTCCTGGGGGCCAGGGGGGGGGGCAAAATTGGCCTCCCCAAATCTATAACATTTTGGAAAGCCCTTGGGTTTTACTTCAATAGTCTGCAAGAAAAATGGCAAACTTACAAAAATCCAAATATTTATTGCAAAATCTAGTTATTAAGCATAAAAATTGCAAAAAATTGAGCAAATTGCAAAAAATTATACATTTTGAAAAGCCCTTGACCCAGCAAATTCAAATAAGCAAAAACATTTGCAAAATTGCATTTAAAGGCATCTGTGCAAAACTCTATGCAAAATTTCTTTGCAATAATGTGGGGTCTGGTTACTTTAACATGTTAAAATACAATAGATGGAAGTAGGTCTAAATATAGATTTAGTCTGGCATAGGAAAAATAAGGCATTTAGGCAGTAAGCTGGAGGACTCAGGCAGTAGGTATAAAGGCCCAGCTTTTAGCTTTAAGTACTGGACATGAAAATTTGAGCTTCCTAGCTCAAAACTTTTTGAGTTATCGCAAAAAACGATATGGGGGGGGTTAAATTGACCCCCCCCCCCAGGATAAATAGGGTTAATATTTTTCAGTTATTGATACCATGTATCAATATTTTAATATTTTCCTGGTGTAAATACCATATATATTGGATGCTTTAATATTGTTCACTGTCAGGCTTAAATGGTTGAGTGAAAATATCGTTTGTTTTTTAACCATAAGTGGAAAGCATGTCGTTTTCAAAACAATTTTATAAAATCTAAATATTTATTTATACTAATTTATACAATTAAATATCATATCGGGTTTAATCATTGCAGAAAGGACTATCATATGAATTTTGTTTCATAAAAATAAAGTGCTAAAACCCGGCTAAAACAGGTTACTTACGTTTAATGTCGCAAACTATTACTAAGGGTTAAAGGCGAATTTGAAGTTATCAATCGATTTACATTATATCGGCTTATTTAGAACATCACTGTATAAAGAGTACTTTTTTCTAAGGACTAAAAATTCAACTTAATTATATCTGTAAACACCTTTCTGTCCATTTCAAAGTTTTTCCCTAAAAGTGCTTTTGTTGAAGGAAAATGCTTGAGTAAATTGTTAAAAATTCGCGAAACAAAATCGAAAAACTGCAATTTCTCAGCTGTTTTTTTGACCCGGTAGAAGGAAAACTGGCCTACGTGGTAAAATTTTTCATAGACAAGGGAAAATATAATATGAAGATAAAAAAAGAAAAAATATCATTTCAGAAAAAATATCCTCTGTCATGGAAAATCTTCTCTGTTTATGAAATGTCCTATCTATGAAATGGCCTATCTATGATATGTCCTATCCATGAAATGTCCTATCCATGAAATGTCTTTCTATGAAATATCTTTCCCAATGCCCGATATGAAGCTTATGATTTTAATCATAGTCAATAAATAAAGTAAATAAAAAAATGTTATTTCAGGTGTGAAAATGAAATTGCATTGGCCTGGTATTTTTATCTTTATTCTACTCTTTATAATGTAATCTTTTATTAACGCATACATGTGTTGTGATTGTGAATGCAATCTAAGACAAAAATAAGAATAATTTAGACTTAAAATAGGATTACAATTATGTGAGCTTACAATTTCGTGTATTTCTTAGGAATACAGTGCAGCATCTGTAGTTAGAAAGTTATGTCCCATTTGCTATTTGAAATAGAAAATATAATTTCTTGATAAAGGAACTGAAATTAAAATTAGTTAATGGCTTTATCTTTGCAACCTAACAATGCAAATTTTATATATTATATACCTGGGTATAAGATCTAGTAAAAATAATAGTTTAAAATCAAAGGTTTACGAGTACGACATAAGGTTATAAAGGCACAGTGTTTATCAAAACAACGAAGACGACGTATGATTTCAATTTTGAGTTCTACAAAGCTTTTAAACAGCATGGATCCTAGAGAGGCTGTCAATTAAGAGCTACTCCTAGTTTACTTGTAAACTGTAGTAAAAATAATAATCTTTTTACAAAAGTCGTCTTCATTACATTTACAAAAACACCGACCATTGTATAATGACTGCAAAATTAGTATTTGAGAAAAATGTTCAGTCATCTGTAAACTACATGTTTAAACTTAAAAATTAAGCAGTAAATTGTTCTTATTATTATTACTATTATTATTATTATTATTATTATTATTATTATTATTATTATTATTATTATTATTATTATTATTATTATTATTATTATTATTATTATTATTATTATTATTATTATTATTATTATTATTATTATTATTATTATTATTATTATTATTATTATTATTATTATTATTATTATTATTATTATTATTATTATTATTATTATTATTATTATTATTATTATTATTATTATTATTATTATTATTATTATTATTATTATTATTATTATTATTATTATTATTATTATTATTATTATTATTATTATTATTATTATTATTATTATTATTATTATTATTATTATTATTATTATTATTATTATTATTATTATTATTATTATTATTATTATTATTATTATTATTATTATTATTATTATTATTATTATTATTATCGCCAGAGATGCGCCAGATGTCTGTTTATCATTTGTGTTATTGTTTACAATCTTTATTATTGTTGTTATCATTATTATTATTATTGTTATTATTATTATTATTATTATTATTATTATTATTATTATTATTATTGTTATCATTATTATTATTGTTATTATTATCATTATTGTAATCAACAGGATGTCTGTTACGGAATCCAAACCCATTGTAACGTACTTCCTGAATAAGCGTTATGATTTAAGGTAATATATACAGGGTGTCCCATATTAGATCGTTAATCAGTCTATATTATGTTTTTTTGGGACTAATAAGAAATTATAAGAAGAATATATCATTTCATAAAATTGAATAAGGCTTATATAATTTTTTTCTTGCAGAAAATGTTAGGTTTTTCGGGTATTATGGGTTTAATTTGGCATTGAAGCTTGGAGATAGTCTAATATGATATGGGACGCTCTGTATCATCTTATCGTGTTTTTAGTATCTACAGTGATAACCAGAACACTTGGAATAGGAAGTTGACTTTTAGACTTAATTTATGACTTTAAATAGTCAAATGAACATGAGGCACCGCAATTGTGCATTGTATGCATTGCAGACCCATTTCACTGAACAAGTGATTTTATATCTTACTAGTTAAACTACTTACTTTGTAACAACATCAAATGCACTTCTGTTTTGTCTTAATGTCGTCTTCCTATTCTGCAGTTTTCTGGTTATTACTGTATTTACATTTTTTAATCTAGTCATTTCCAAAAATATGCTTGGACAGGAATGAGGCCCATCAGCTTCATTTTTATTTATATTTTGAAAAATTAAAACCATTCAATTTAAACTAAAGTACATTGCATAAAAAGTAAAAATCTTATATTTTTCAATCGTAAATCATCTTTTTTAATAACAATTGAGAAGACGTTTTAATTTCTAAAATCTAACCGGCCGTGAATCTGCTTTTCTCATACTCGTGCGTGAAATCAAAACTAAAGGAGCAATTCAAGGTCACAAAGTTATACCAGTATTCATTATTCATGGTAACCTGTAAAATTTCTGACACACAGTGTCAATTTTTTGGGTTTCCATATCGAAAATACCAACTGGGGATGGTAAAAATAAATTATTAATGATCATTATGATTTGGACTAATTGATTCTTTTCCCTTTCTGAAATTAAAATTTTCTTTTTCTTTTACAAGTAGAATATAGAATGATAATACATCTTAGTCAAGTTAAAGTACACAGAATATCTTGTGGATGCCACAAATCCTTTGACTCCATTATTATATTGTTTCATAAATCAATGTTTATTTATGATATTTGCTTTACAGTATATTTGATTTTCTGTAAAATCAAACCTTGTTATGGAAGGTAACAATGTCGTCTTTAATGTACAAGATGTCCCTTGAAACATGGCAGTTGGAGATTAGTTTGAAATGTCTTCTTTCTAATTTGTTAAGTTGTTTGATACCAAAGTGATCAATGAAAAATTTGATACTGCGTGCATATTAAATAGTAATATTGATTTCTAAGTAATTTAAAATTATTTACCAACCGTCATGTTTCGTGAGACTGCACTATGTAAATTAAATTATAAAGCAAAATATAGGTAAATAAATCTAATCATACATTAACAATGTAAAATAATAAGCTTTAAAGGAATTGAGTCTTTGCCACAAACTCTGCTTTTCTAAACCCTATATCTTAGGATTCCAATGTCGTAGACCTTAGATATTTCAAACTATGAATTCTGTTAGATCAAATAATATAAGTTTGAAATATCAAAGATTTCCGACATTGGGTTCCAAAGATATAGGGATTATAAATTCAGAGTTTGTGGCAAAGACTCAATTTATTTGTTGTAGAACCAGTTCCTGTTTCTTTTGTAATGATCATGAGTGCGTAAAAACTGTGAAAGGAGAATACAAATATGCAAAAGCAATGACCCTTTGTATGAGGTAAATTAATTTAAACATAATACGGCACAATATAAAGAAGGTATTCCAAGGACAGGGTTACCCACTTAAAGGATAATACTTGGTCTGTCAAAGGGACTGTCAAACTCAAGGAGAATTGAATAGAAGGAGGGGGCAATAGGGTTTCCGTACACTTTGCTGTGACGTTTTTGGACTGCTGAAGAACTAGTTTTTGCGTAACAAATGAATCTTCATCTAACGCCAGAGATGCGCCAGATGTCTGTTTATCATTTGTGTTATTGTTTACAATCTTTATTATTGTTGTTACGCAAAAACTAGTTCTTCAGCAGTCCAAAAACGACACAGCAAAGTGTACGGAAACCCTATCGCCCCCTCCTTCTTTTCAATTCTCCTTGGTCAAACACAAGGTACGTTGTATATATATTATATAATACAACCTTGGTCAAACTGGAGGTAAACATTTCTATATAAAGACCAAAATACAATTGTTCCTGTTCGATACAGTCCATCTTTCAGAAATATTTTAGACACCTCATTTTCCAAGATAAAATAGACGTTTAACGTTTACAATAGCTTGGAAACCTAGCTTTGCCTGGAAACTAAGTCAACCCACTTAAACCAAGTTAAGAACATTCCAGTTGTTTTACCGAGTTTCTTAATCAAAATTTGAGGCAAATCTGTTCAGGTGTTTCTGAGTTATGACCGGACATCTAAACAAGCATATAAACAGAGATTATAAATCTGTATATATACTTTGCTTGTCTTTGGGTGTTTGTTTGTTTGTATCCAAAAAACGTCGAAAGGGCTGAACTGATCGAGCCCGATTTTTTTGTGGGACCTCACATGACCCAAGGGAAGGTTTATGAATGATCAAAATCAAAAAAATTAGCCTCCAACAAATATTATTTTCATTAAATTTTGTAAATCAACGATTTTTTATTAAAGAAAAAATTCCAAAATAATCCCCGAAAGTAGAGAAATGGGATTTAAAGAAAAAGAATAACGAGGGAAAAATATCAATGTTTTGTAATTTGAAATCATTCAATTTAAATTTTAGGTCATTTGCAATGTTGTATGAAAACCCTGAAGAAAGATGGTCTACTGTGGCATCTTTTGGAACGTTAAATGAAGATGAAACAGACTATGTGGTATATTAAGATAATACAGTGAAACCCTTAATAACGAATACATCGAAAGAATTCATCAAATATCGTATTCTTCACTTTCTGATAATGTAATGTTGTAGATATTTAGTTTTTTAATTAAATGATTATATGGAACTCTTTAAAACTGTTCTCGCATATTCATGGCTCTTTATTTATTTTCGCAAATACCGAAATTTACGTAATATAGTATAAAACTCATTGAAAAATTGTCAAGACGACATTTGATAAATTCTTCCGATGTATTCGTTATTAAGAGTTCACTGTATCATACAGATAAATGATTCGTATCAAATAATTGGCATTATTAATGCTAAATTTAAGTATACTCTTGCGTTCCAGTATTATTTTTTTACCTTTTTAGTGTTGCTTAATCTGCTGCAGCATATTTTGGTTGAATATAAAAAATCACTGTTTTCAATATTGAATTTTCACAAAGACAGTAAGTCTTTGTCACAAACCTTGCCATTTAAACTTGATTTTAGGAAGGTATTCTGTACGGTGTTTGGTCTACAGGTCCTTGGTTAGGACTCAAAATAAGGTGGCTTCAAAACTCATTTCAAAAGAATTGAGTTTTTTCATAAACTCAATATCTTTGCAACCTGGAGGTGTAAACCAATGATATTTCAAACTTAGATCATTTGATCTGACAGAATTCATAGGTTGAAATATCAAAGGACGATATTGGTTGCAAAGATATAGGGATTAGGAAATCAGAATTTGTGACAAATACTCAATTCCTTTAGAATAATACAACAAATATATAGACCAGGAACGCCCAACTCAGATATACGCAAATTGTGTACTGTACACTGTGGGAGGAATGTAAACAAATCCAATGCCCCCACAGCAGTTGAAGAGAAAGGATTAAACACTGATAAACAGAGTGATGTTACAGTCAAAAACAAAAGAAACTAGTTAATATATTAAGTTAGTGCGGATAAAAAATAATTTATTTAAATATGATTTTTGGGTTTCAGATCAATATGGAAAATTTATTCATGCTCAGTGAGATTTGTTCAACTATAAAGGAGAAGCAAGGTAAAAAGATTCCCACTTATCCTTGTTTCCGAGGTTTAACTTTCTTTTAAAATTTAAAACNATTTGACGCATCAGATATGGCGGTTCCTGGTCTATATATTTCTTGGAATAATATGTTTTTTCTTCAGAGGATTTTCTACTGATTATTTATGGATCGGGCTTGGAACGAAGATTCCTGAGTTACAAACATGGCATCATATATGCCTATCTTTTAATTCAGAGAATGGAGAAGTAAAGGTCTAAAAAAAATTATTCAAAGCTCAAGTTTTTGGGAATTTTCTGTTGCATTAATGCATTTTCAAAAATAATATTAAACTTCTGTTTAGTTGTATGATAATGGAGAAAAGGTTTATGAAGGAAAGCATGATTCAGTTATTGATTTACATAAAAAAGTTAGCACCACTTTTACAATAGCTTCCCCTGGATGTGCTTGGAGAACTATTTTATCTGGATACATGTCTATGTATGGAAAGGTAATTTAAATGGATAAGAAATATATGCATTATCAATATTATTCTTTTCTATTTTTGTTATCATTATTATATAAATCCAAAGAAAAAATCCTAGGTATCAGATATGCAGATATTTGGAAAGGCTTTGACCGATCAGGAAATGATTGAAATCACAGGTTTTTATCAAAAGATAAATCATGAATATAAAAATTGTTTACAACAGCGCTCTTGAACTCAGGGAACAATCGTTGTTTCACAGGAACGAACGGAATTATCAAGAACTATGCATTGCTTCATAAAAAGAACGAACACGTTGAACACATTCATAAGAATATTGGAACTATCTATAAAAGAATAAACATGGAACAAACAGTAATTGGTTAATCTAAATGTTCTAAATCATCTCGAAATAAAAGAAATGATGAAAAATTGTCGAGTTTTAATTTATCTGTTTAATTGCAAATTCTGTCAGTTTGGTGGGGTTGGCCAATGTCATGTTATACCTCCCTTTACCCAACCCCTCCCCCACCTAGTCCATCCTTCTTCAACTCATTCCAATATTTTCCTTGGAACCGTCCTTGGAACTGTTCTCAATCAAGAACACACTGAACGGAACGAACCGGAATAGGGATGGAACGATTGTAATTAAAACGAAAAATCTAGCAAAAATCCCTTGTTCTGGAATAAGGAATGAAAAAAAACAGGAACATACCCACTGCCCATGCCTCTCAGTTAATGTCCATGGCTTCACAAATGTTTGAGTGAAATGGTAAGGTGAAACTTCAAAGCCAACAGTGTCTTAACATTTAATCCTTGACATCTACAAAAGCATAAAGATTAATAACTATATTCAACTGTTCAAGGTTGTAAAACATCCATAGAAGGAGATATAGTTAGCTGGAAGAATACCCAGTGGGAGCTGGTTGGAAGAAAACAAATTTCAGAGAAAGAGGTTGAGTATCCCAGTCATTAATAGATATTTGTATAGAACAATACTAGTGCAACTTGCAGTGTGCATCCTACATATTTGTCTCAATATAAAGAGATGATTCATTATAGCATACTTTCCTGTTACTAGTAACAAAAAAGGTTGAGTACTTCAAAATGAACAAGAGTTGTCCATGCCCATTTTCACAAATGAACAGTTAAAACAAGTATTTCAATTTTAGATTGTTGACTTTGACATTGATGTTTGTAAAATCTCAACTACCAGCTTGCACTTTGTCCCACTGAAGAAAGTTGTGACTCCTTGGGCAGAAAATATGTGCAGGTACTACGGTAAACAAGCCTCCTTTGTTCAAAACAATGTAGATTCGAGTTCTTTGTCCCAATTTTGACAATACATATGCTGTAAACCCTAAGTGTCAATAATTTAGAATCAGTTGCCAAAAAATGGCAATTATTATTCATTAGAGAAACCAGATTCTGGGACTAGAATTTGAGTTTCTTTAATTCAGGAGGTCGATTCTGTTCTAGTAAACTTAGAGAATCAGGAGTTTCTCCAAAACCAGAGTTTGATACTGTTTCATCAACGTTTTAGAATCAAGAGTTTTCACAATTCCAGAGATTAATACTATCCAAGCAGAGATAGAGAATCATGAGTGTCTCCAATCCCAAAGTTTGATACTGTTCCATAAGAGTTAGAGAATCACTATTTTTTCCAATTCCGAAATCTGTTTCTCTGTCAATGGTGGTAAAATTTAATCCTATTACCTTAACTCCTGAATCAGATTCCGAAAAAAGCAGAATCAACAATTTCTTTTCCTTTATTCACTGCGGGAAATTCGATCTTTGTAATTGACTCTTTGCCACAAACTCAAATTTCTTCTCCCTACATCTTTGCAACCCAATGGTGTAAAACTTTGCTATTTGAAACTTAGATTATTTGATCAAACAGAACTCATATTTAGTTTGAAATATGTAAGGTCCACAACATTGGGTTACAAATATATGGGGACTAGAAGTTCAGAATTTATGGCGAAGACTCAATTTCTGTAAACGTTTATTTCTATTTTAATAAAGGAACTGAGTTCTTGTAACAAATCCAAATTTTCTAATCCCAATATCTTTACATTCCACTGAAATTAACCATAGATATTTCAAACTATGAATTATGTTATATAAAGTAATCTTAGTTTGAAATATCAAAGGTTTACTTCATCAGTGGCCGAATTTAAAGAATTTGAGCGGCGGTTTAAATTTAAGCCGCGGTTTAAATATGGTTGGTTCCACTTAAAATTGTATCAAATGTTTCAAGATTTATGCTGGCGCTTAATTTAAACCGGGTTTTGGTGGATTTAAACCACGGCTCAAATTCTTTAAATTCCATCTCAGGTTGCAAAGATATAAGGCTTAGAAATGTTGAGTTTGTGGCAAAAACTCAACTCCTTTGATTATATTGCAGTATAGTCTGAGTTTTATTTACTTTAGGAAGATGTCAGGATATCTGGCCGCATACAACACTCAAGAGGAGTTTGAAAATTTGGTTAATCTTATAGAAGATTCAAGAATGTTAAATTCTGTGTGCAACACTAAATCAAAAAATTTGAATAAATCAGAGCTCAGGTGGTCTTTTATAATAACTGAAAAAATGCATGATACCTCCAAGCACTCAGCAGTATGTGGTCATTGGAATGACAACTAAGCTTATCTTTTATCATACTTGAAATTAAACAGAAATTATTTTAAAAGGCCATGAAATCTACAAGTAAACTTGAGTTTTCATCAAAATTGCTTTAATTTCCTTGATATTTTGATATTTTGGACTGGTGATGTTTGTATTAGAAGAGTCCTGAATTACTTAAATGGGAAAAACAAAATTGTTCAATTTTTAAATGAAAAAACCTTTTCAAATGTTTTGATGTTTGATTATAATGTTGCCAAGGATGTGGCTTGGAATTGATGACAATAAAGAGGAAGGTGTCTGGAGGAACACCAGAACAGGAGAAACAGTGAGTTGAAATCAATAACAGAAAACCATTGCATATCTGTTGGGCATCATCTATTTGAACTATGAAGTCAAAATTAACCTTTTTTCTAAGGAAAACTTTATTTCTGTCCCAATATTTATCAAGTAAAGGTCATTCCTTCTTTTATTCAATTTTGAGAGAATTTATCACACCTAATATTAACAGAGGAAGTACTTGGTTTAGCAAAGGAAGTTTTCGATTTTGTTGATGTAGATACTTCAGTTCCAAACTCTATCTATCTGAGGTCGCTCCACTCAGCTCCTCTCCAGTTGGGTTCTTATCATCCCAGAGTTACCCAAAGTCACTAACCTGACTCTCTTAGCTACCTCTGCACTCGCATTGGAAAGCTTTGAAGTCTCCTTGCAGGCTTTCTCATCTACATTCACATAGCCAAGGTTGTCCTTGTCTCAATTTCCGAACCTTCTTAGTGACCCTGTGATGACTGCTTCTCTGGTGGATACATATTCCATGGCCATTTTGGCATTTGCCCAACTAAAAAAGTCAGATTACTGCCTAAATGCCTTTTGTTTACCTCCACCAGATAATTCTATATTAAGACCTATTTCCAGTCATTGGAAAAAGCCCATAACAAAATCAAGCAGATTGCACATTATTGCAGAGAAATTTTGCACATATTTTTGCACAGACGGCTTTAAAGGTTTTTGCATTTTTTCAGTTTTTCTTGAATACACACTTAGGTTTTAAACAATTTCCAAATGGTTTTGCACATTTTTGCAATACATATTTGGATTTTTGCAAATTTGCAGTTTTTTGAAAGATTATTGAAGTAAAGCCCAAAGGCTTTCAAAAAACTTATGTAACTTAAGAATTTTAGACATAATATTTCTAATTAGGTGAGTTATCTGAACTGGTTGCCAAATAGACCATATACAGGTGGTGACAAATATAATTGTCTTCAAATAATAGCTGAGCTTGACACTGCAAATACATCAACTACCTTGTTAAATCAAGCCAAAGTTGGGGATGCTGAGTGCTTAGATTTTGAAGCATGCAGTGTATGTAGAGTGGACCATAATGTCAGGTATTTACTGGCTTGGTGTATTTATGAATACCATAACATTTGAGAAATATTGGAACAACAGGAAAAGAATTTCAAAATTATTGTAAAATTATTAAAAAAAGGATTAAAATCTAGTCATTAAGAGTTTGCATTACAAAAATTTAAAAAAAATATTATTTTTCTGCAAAATATCTTCCTAGTGCAGAGGCCAAAAATGAACACTGCTTTAAAGATTAAGCATGATAACAAAGCTAACAGTTTGTGTCCATCAATAAGGGTGTTGACGGAAAGAAAACAAATTCTCAAGATGAAATGATAATAGGCCTGCTGGAATCAGCTGTTGAAGGATATATATTTCCCAACAATATTTCCCAATTATAACAACAGACACACAACAGAATGAACCCCCGTATCAAAAATCAATAACAAAAAATTCTCTTTACTTCCTGAAAAAAAATTACATATATGATAACGTGTACCAATGTTATAATGAACGTTTATAATGAAAAAATCCTGACGATCTAATAGCGGAAGATAAAGGGGTTAACAATAGTTGAACAGCACTAAAAGACGTTTTAAACTTCTGAATAAAATGACAATTAATTATTAACAAAAGTCACTAAATCTTTATGTGAAAATATTCTTTGTTTAACTTTTGAAAATGGATTTACAATACACGAGGTTGTTTACGACTCCATCAGGGAGATCAAAGATAAAGGGGGTTAAAATTGTTTGGTTTGGTGTCTCTGAGAGGGGACCTAAGTTAAAGACGACTTTATACGGAGACCTTATTGTTAATGGTTGACAAAGGGATATTAGTGCTACTTTACCAATAAAGAATAGACTCTGTTATTCTGTTCTATAATAATGAATTCAGTCTCTGAAGTGTCTGGTGAAATACATCTTTAATTGTTTCAGATGAGAGAGACTGTTTACTGCCTACCATTCAGTAAACTTATGAAATTTAGATATTTTGATCCCTGCTATAGTTGTTGATCTAACCATTTCAAAATATCCAAATTTTCTTTAAAATCTGATGACATTTAGGAAAGTGAGTGTTCGTGGACTGTGTGCAAATTCATTATTTAACAGCATTTACCTATACAATATTGATGACCAAGGAAGAGTTTTGTATTTGGGAATTTTTTCTTCCTTTCTCACTTTTGATGAAGTAAGTGAAATTTTTATTAGCATAACAAGAGAAGAATCGCAAGTTGTATACCCAAAAAAGATTTTAACTTATTTCAATCTTTTAAGTCTTACAAAATAAAAAAAATGAAGATTGCTGTTGATAAAATTATTTTTTGTTATTTCCAGAACCAAAAAAAATGGATGTGGTATGATAGAAAGGATAACTCAAGTTTTGCTACATCTTCGTCATCTGAAGAATCCTTGCTTTTTGGAATTAATACTTTTGACTTCAGGTCAAAATGCAATGCATAGCTATTTTGTATATTTACCCAGGCCGTAGCCAGGGGGGGGGGTGCAGGGGACCGATGCACCCCCCTTTCTTCTATATATATATAGCCGAGTAAGAATTGATTCCTTTCCCAAACCAGCAGGCTAACAAGTAGCTGATTAGTATTCAGTACACTCTGTTGATAAGAAAAAATACAAAATCTTAATTTACTTATAGTCACTCAATAAATAGTTCTTTAAGCCTAATTAAAACAGTATGTTTTATTAATTATATAGAGTCCCATGAAAATGAAATGATAATCTCCTGTACGCTTTCAAACTTTCAGCCCCCCCCCCTTGACCCTTGAAAAGCTTTTCTTTAAATAAATAAGAAATATGAATATATCATTATCAATTATCATATTCAAAAGTCAAAGTAATAAATGATAACTTGATTCTGTTAGTTAAGCAGTACTATACTACATCATGTAGATGAATTCATACTAAATATTAATACTCAAATATATTTTTTTTAGATCTAAATATTTATTTTATGCTAATCCATTTAAAGATTTAAACAGGTTTACATTACATTACAAGATATAGCATTACATTAAATCTAGTTCCGCCTTTGTAGGTCTTCGTTTAGGCTCGGGAACAGGCACAGGATTAGGTTCAGGTTCAGAGTGAGGATGAGGATCAGTTTCAGGTTCAGCTTCAGGCTCAGAATCAGGGTTAGAGTCAGGATAGGGTTCAATTTCACACTCGGAGCTTTTATGTCTATTTTCCCCGTCCAGCTGAGGAAAAGGAGATGATACTAGAGATTGAGAGCGTGTCTTTCTCTTCTTATGGGAGGTTAAATTTGAGGTTTTTTCAATACTTGGCAGCATCACAGAAACTATCTTAAGGGCCTTGAACCCTTCTTTGGACTGGGGGCCTCTCATGGACCTCTCCTCAATACTCAAATATTGATACTTGTTTAAAAAACAAATATTTTTTAGATTTTTTTTCATCACAACTATCAAATTTTTTCCAACTTTTTGAACTCAACAACATAGAAATTTGGTGTCCTTTTGAAATCTTTCTCATCATTGATGTAATTAATGATTAAATTTCCTATTATTTAATTGAATGAATTATGTATTAACAATTTCATAAAAAATAAGATTTGCTTCCGATACATGTGGGAACAAGATCAATAATTGTCATTATCTATTTAGTGGTGTCAAGCGAGATCCCTGTTCAAAAAATACCAAATCTACACTAAAACAGATAATGTTTACAACATGTACTGATGAAGAGTTTACTTGCAATGATGGTCTTTGTATTAATATTGAAAAAAGGTGACAAATAAAATCTAAATAATTCACTCCTATATATCTTTTTGTAAAATAGATGCGATCAGACCACTAATTGTTTGGATGAATCAGATGAAGACAACTGCAAAATGATATTTATTAAAGAGAACTACAAGGAAACTGTTCCTCCATTCAGGAAAACAATTACAAACTCTGCTTTACATTACTCTGCACTTTTTCAAATACAAACATAGCATGGCACTTAGCCTGAATCCTACCTCAAAACATCTTACCTAGTCCTAAAAAGTAGAGTTAAATTGTGGAAATAGTAATTTGCAATATCTTTTGAGTATCTTTACAATTCTACTAATTTCTATATCTAATTTATAAATAACATTATACTCAATACTCATACAGGATGAAGATTTAAGTATATGATATATAGAGCAAATGCAAAAGTGAATGTCATAGATCATATGACCATAGAGGAAATGAACATAGAGCAGTTATAGCATCACAACTTTACTTGCACCAAAATAAAAATTAGAGATGAAAAATATAAATAAAAATTAGATTGTAATAATTTCTTTTACTTTCCTTTTCTTTTTAGATTTGATATTGTTAATGAGTCAAATGTTCCAGTAAAAGTAAATATATCTTTTGCAATAAAGGATGTTATCAGCATTCAAGAAATAAATCATGCTTTCACTTTAAAGGTATTTTAAAGAATCAATGATTTGATAATTTAATTTAAATCAGAAATAATGCAACTAAATTTATATGAAATCTATTCAGTTTGCCCTGGCATTGCATTGGTATGATTATCGTTTATCATATTATAATCTGAAGAAAACAAAATCTTCAAATACTCTTGCAGCAGATGAGATGGAGAAGATTTGGATTCCATTTGTAGTATTTGAAAATACACAGGACAATGAAGCCACAATGTAAAATAGTTTATTAATACAAACTATTTTTAATAACTATATAATTGAAAAGAAATATTTAGACTGAGAGAAACAATATCTAAATAAGATAATTTTCTTAATCAAGCCTAGGGTTTCCAACATAATAGATTATTTTCTTACGCATAATTACGTGCAGTTACGCGTAACAATTTTCATTTTGAGTAATTTCGCAGGATTACTCATAATTGGGGAAAAATCCATTTTGCAAAATTATGGTGTAATTTCGCGTAATTTCTACAATTTAATTCTGCGAAATTTTGTAATGATTATGCGTAATAAGTGAAACTATAATTATGTGTAATTACAGCGTAATTTTGCGTAATTTTTACAAGGTAATTTTGCAAAATTTTGTATTAATTACGTGTAATTAGCAAAACTTCAATAACACGTAATTACAACATAATTTCTTGTAATTTCTTCAAGGTAATTTGCGAAATTTTGTATTAATTATGGGTGATTAGCGAAACTTCAATTTCGCGAAATTATGTTGTTATTTCTGCAAAGTAATTTTGCAAAAATTTGCAATAATTACATCTATGAAATTTTGAAGTTTAAACTTTTAATTTAAATAAAACAACTAACTTACAAGGAAAAATGTTGATGTAATTTTCACATTCAACATTTAAAAAGTTTAACAAAGAGCCTACAATTTATCTTTTAAAAAAATACCTAATCTATAAATTTTCAATTTTCAACGACTTGTTAATATTTCAATCTAATTTACCTTCAATCTAGTTTACCTTCCTTGTTTGAAAAAAATGGCAATTAAATCGTCAAAATATGTTTGACATGGTTTTAGCGGGCATTTCCTTACACACACTTTCCCGCTATAATTATTCCTCAGAATTAAAATGTACTTTATTTATTATGGAATGTTTTGTATTACGTAATTTCGTGTAATTACGCATTAATTACCCGAAACCAGACTTTCTTTTGTAAAAGTAATAAACGCCTAATTACACGTAATGCTCCTGCCTAAGTGAAAGAAAGTGTTACGCGTAACGTAATTACAACTAGAAACCCTAATCAAGCCTGAACCATACACGGTAAGCTCAGTCTGTAATTTTGGGTTGAAACTTTCTTACCATTTAGTTATATATTTCAACTACATGATGTTAGATCTAATGCATAGATTACAATTTATTTTTCAGAACTGAAATTTGCAATCTGACTTTTTTCAAATTTTTTTAATATAATTTGATTCTATATTAGTGTGTCAAGAAATAGTGAAGTCACCATATACCGTGAAGGAAATTTTGTTCGAAGTCCTCCTGAGGTGTTGGAAGAACGAAACATTTTTGATGGTTAGTAATGACTATAATTTACAAGACTTAAAATTTTTTTTTTAGAAAAATCAATACTTTTCCATGATTCTATTGTTTATTCTTGTTTTGTTTTTAATATATTCAAAGAATATGGGTCATCTTAAAATAAATCTAGTTTTTTTCTAAACCTGTTAATTGTAGTTAGGCTAAAAATAAAATAGAGTCAATTCTTCTGACAATATCAGGAAATGAAAACAAACTGGAATTTCAAGAGGTTTACACTAAAACCTTTAAATGTGAATATCAGCTCCAGATGTATCCCTTTGATACACAGGTAACCTGCTTTACCATAGAGAAAGGAAACAAAGAGAAAAGCTTACCTCAGATTTACACAACCGACCACCCAATTAAATAATTAATAATGTGGTGGGTGGTGTACATCACAATATGTTTCCGTATCTAACACTGTAAACTTTAACATAGAGTGACTGTATTTCTTGGGGATGGTAAAATTGTTATTACAGAATAGTATACTGCAGTACATTCCAGTTCAGTTTTTTAATTAAGTTAAGACAAGAATGACAAAATATTGCATTATGAGATAATGTACAAAAAATTCTATTTGCAAAATTGAGAGTTTTTTTATAACACTAAACCATTGTGCATGAGATGGAAAGAAGGAGATGTTAGTTAGGGGAAATGACTCATTTTGAAGAAAAATACATTTCATTTTATTTCATTACAGATGTATTACAGTTTATGTTTGAAAGGGATACATCATGAAATTTTCTAGAATTTAATGTTACTAATATGCATGGAAATTCGGATATTTAAGAATTTTATCTTTACAAAAACTTTTTAGAGTTTTGTGATAATTAATTCTGGAGGAAGGTCAAAAAATGTTCTCTTCATTTAAAGAAAGATAATCAAAAGATTTATCAATTCCCTGCTAAGAAAATCATCACTCTATACACAAGTTAACAGTGTCAGTTATTTAAACATACCTTGATGTACACAACCAACCAACCAACCTATTAATTAATTAATAGGGTGGATAGTTGCTTACATATCTTACCTTTTTGTTTTCTTTCTCTGTGTGCTTTACTATGTTTAAACGTAAAAAGATTATATTACCTTATTATCTAGATATGTAAAGTATTACTAACAGTACGAGGGTCAGAAAAATCAGTAATGGAAATTACTCCAGACTCTATTCTGATGGAAGGAGAAACAGTTTTAACCCAATATATATTAACCTACTGGAAACTAGATTATGTCAACTCAAGTAAGTATAATTTTAGTAAGGTTGTAAATAACAAACATCTTGATATACTTTTAGCATTGCCTGAGGCTGGGGTTAGCATCATGATAGTTCTGAAGAGACGAATAATGAATGAGATTTTGACAACATATCTACCATCAGTTCTTATTCTAATAATAGTATATGTAACCAACTACTTTAAACCATTCTTCTTTGAAGCAGTTGTGACAGTTAATCTGACATCTTTACTGGTTCTAACAACTTTGTTTATTAGCGTCTCAGGTCAATGATTAATCTTTCTTTCATTTAATTTGTTCTCCTTCTTAAAGATCAATAATTTACCATTTAATTGATTCTCCTTTCATCTGATCCATTATCCCTCTATAAAGTACAGATATCCTTCCATCTCGTCCATTCTACTTGAAAACTTTCAAATAACTCTGTATGACTTAAACCCCTGCCTTATAGTCCCAATGGGTGAGTATGTCCCAAATGAAAAAATAGAAACCCTCATATTAAGGGCCCAAAACAGGGGTGATAAATCCTTAACATTAATAATTTTTTGTGCTAAGCAGAAGATTTTAACTATGTAAATTATAGATAGCCTACCACCAACAGCATATGTTAAACTGATTGATATTTGGCTAATATTCTCTCAAGTGATTCCATTTTTTGAGGTATATTAAGAGTTAAATTACATTGAACTTGGAAATATGTTACTTCTTTAGGTTTTACTTCATACCTTCATGGATAGTAAAAGAAAGGATGGTCAAGACAGAGAAATTAACCATCATGGGAAAATGATTAAAGTTGGCAAAAAAGAATCCACAAATAATGATTCCAATGTCCTGGTAATTATTCTATATTAATGAATGCTTATGATAAAAACTATCTTATTTAGTTTGTTCGGGAAAAAAGTTTCTTATTGAAGGATGGAAAGGTAAGCACAAAGTTTATAGAATCAAATTTTTTTTTTAATCATCATCTTTATTTTTTAGATTCCTAAGAGTATCCCCTTTGACCCTGAGTTAATTGCAAGAAATGAGAAGGAAGAACTAGAGGCCAGACAAAAATTTTATAGTAAGGTTGACATCGACATCTACTGGATTCAATTTGGTGAAATAACAGGTAAACATGCTTTAAGATGTTTTTACATGTTATATATTAAATTGTTCTGCAGAAATAAACAATTTAAAATAATATTTTAGGCAAACTACTCTTACCATTGTTCATCATCATCTTCACTATTGTGTATTGGAGCTTTGGATTGTACCATTACTTTAAAGAAGATTATTCCTTTAAAATATAATAAAATTAATTTGATAAACTTTTTTTCTTTTTGTTGCTAGTGATTTAAGAAAGAACAGTATGAAAATGTACCTTCAGTTAAAGGTTTTTTTGCTCAAAATGAGTTTTTAAAATTGTTTAGACTATCAAAAGGAAAGCAAATTAAGCCCAGCTTTTCCGATTAAACAATATGTTAGTAATGATAAATATAAATAAAACATAATCCTGGAAAGAAACTCATTGACATATTCTGTTCATTTTTTAAACAACAAGTTCACATGGTCTTTTAATCCCTGGAACAGAATTTATTTTCAATCTTCTTTAGCCATTTAAGTTCATTGTAAACTAAAAATCATTCTAATTTCAAGAAATAGATTTTATAGTTTTATGTATGACTCATATGACAAAATGATAGATGAGTTGAAAGTAAGAATTTTTATTTAAGTTTAAAAGGACTTTTCATGAAAAAAATTGAGAATATCATATTTGAGGAACAAAACAAATGTTTTGAAAAACAAGAAGATGGTGATAAATAATCAAAATTGATGTATTTTATTTAATTTATTTGTGCAAGGCATTAACTAAATCTGGTTTCTGATCTTGTTCATAATGCAGATTTCATGCTTTACATTTTTACTGTTTTAATCATTCAGAATTTTTAATAAATTTCTCCAACTTAGCATTTAGATATTATTTGCAAATTTTACTGAAGTAAGGCTGGGAATTAAAGACTTTGCTCCACGTAAGGAAGATTTTAGATAAAAAGAATCCAATCATAGTGTTGTAAAATATTCACCAAAAGGATATTTTCAAAAAATTAAATTTACACTAAAACTTGCCTGTTGATCTTCATTTCATCATGCATTAGTTGTCTATTTGCATTCTGCTTTTAGAGATGTGTTCCTGTGTAAATAAAATAGATAAAATAGAATTTTGAGAATGGACAAAATCAATTTGATTAGAACAGATGCAAAAAAAAACTAAATGGGTTGATCATAAATGATAAACAAAGGAAATGAAAAAAAGCCATTCACGCCCATCTCTATCAATCCCTATTTTTACATCTCATCTTCAATCAATTAATTATAAAGAGCTCTAGATGCATTGAGTTCTCATGGATGTGGTTTAATATTATTTAGATTAACTAGATGAAAACAAAACAATTCTACTTCAAAAGATTAAAAAAAAAGTTATCCAAATTTTTTGATCATTTACTTGAAGAATTGAAAATGAAGTGGTGTAGACTAGCCATTCTGATTTATCCCTCACTTCTTTACATGTAAGTGAAATCAATTAAAGCATAAGAAGATTAGTCAATTAAAATGGTGACTGTGATAATAGAAAAAAAACATTCCCTGTATATAAGCTCATCTTAGTAAATTAATTTGATTTTATAAAATCCTTTTTTTTAACCAATAACTGAACATGAAACACTGCCAATATGCAGTATACAGAAACCCATTTCACTTTGTAAGTTGATTTTCAAACTAAAAGTAAAATTATTTGCATAATGAAAATATTAAGGACAAATACAATTGCTTTAATGTTGAATTACTATTTCACACTTTAATTGATCCACTGTACTCTACCAAACAATATTGCAGGATGCATTGTATTGAATCCAAACCAATAGCCACTTATTTCCTGAACAAACATTATGACTTAAGGTAACATACATTATTCTAAGGTAACAGATACTATACTAAGGTAGCAGATATAATGCTAGGTAACAGATATAATACCAAAGTAACAGATATAATACTCGGGTAGCAAATATAATACTAAGGTGACAGGCATAATGCTAAGGGTAGTAGATCTCATTCTTAGGTAATAGATATAATACTAAAGTAGTAGATATAATAATAAGGTAGCAGATATAATAATAAGGTAGCAGGTATAATCTTTGGTAACAGATAAAAATTTAAAGGAACAAATTTAATACTGAGGTAATAGTTAAAATATTAAGGTATCAGATACAATATTTAAGTAACCAATATAATACTGAGCTGTAAGATATAAATCTTATTAACAGACATAATATGAAGGAAACAGATATAATATAAGGTAACAGATTTAATACCAAGGTAACAAAACTAGTGATTTGTGGTGTCTTTTATGACAAGGATGGCGACTAATAGGAAGGCTTCTATCAGATGAAATTTTGATCAGATGACAGTGAAATGAAGCATTCTGATTGGTTGAAATTGCTGGTGTCAATGAAGACAACATTCAGGATTGTCTATAATGTGAATGTCGCCTTTGTTGATGGAAGACGACATTTATGAAATGGGGCGTAACTTGGGGGGACTGGGGAAACCAATTATGGGGGGCATGACAGGGAAGAGGGGGGCGTAACTGGTAAGGGGTTGTTGTTGACCAAACCTGTCTGTAGGAGGGGGTAATACCCCCCATTTGGGAGGTGTTGCCCCCCCTTTTTTGTGAGTCATGGTATGAGAAATCAGAATTGAGTCATGGTATGAGTCACTATGGATGAGTCATGGTATAAGTCATCAGAGCATGAATGGGATTGTTCTTCATCGTTCTGTTTGTTCTTGGGAAAGAACGATCTTTCCACCAGGAACGCAGCCAGCCCTAGTTAAAACTATAAAAATGTAAAATAAAGGTTAAATGAAGATTAGAACTAAGAAGGATGTAGATAAAGGGTAAAACTTTGAAGATGTAGAATGAAGGGTACAGCTTTAAAGGATGGAGAATATAAAATAAAGGGTGAAACTATACAGGATAGAACTTTGATGGATGCAGAATGTAGGTTAGTTCTGTAAAGAATGTAGAATGATGGCTAGAAATATGAAGGATGTAGATGAAGGTTAGAACTATGGAGATTAGTTAATGAAGGGACTATAAGGGATGTAGAATAAAGATTAGACATATAAAGAATTTATAATGAAAGGTAGATATATGAATGATATAGAATGAAAGTTAGAACTATTAAAAACGTAGAATGAAAGGTAGAATGAAGGTTAGAACAATGAATAATTTAGATGAAGGTTAGAACTGTGAAGGATGCAGAATAAAGTTTTGAACTATGAAGGATGTAGATGAAGGTTAGAAACATGAAGAATGTATAATGAAGAGTAGCACTTTGAAGGATGTAGAATGAAGGATAGAATGTACAATTAAGAATGAAGGGTAGAACAATTAAGTATAAAGCCTAAAGGTTAGAAATATAAAGAATGTATAATAAAGCGTAGAACTTTAAAAAGGTCAGAACTATGAAATTGTAGAATGAAAGTTTTACCCTTCATAATGTATTCTTCATAGTTATTACATTCATTTACATCCTTCATAGTTCTATCTTTATTTCTACCTTTTATTATTCATTTTCTGTAGTTCTAACCTTTATTCTACATTCTTTATAGTTTTAACCTTCATTCTACCTTTCTTTCTACATTTTTTATAGTTTTAGCCTCCATTTTATATCCTTCATAGTTCTACCTTTTTTTTAAATTCTTTATATCTCTAACCTTCATTCTACATCCTTCTTATTTATACACTTCATTATATATTTGTCATAGTTTTAATCTTCATCTACATCCTTCATAGTTATAACCTTCCTTCTACAACCTTCATATTTCTAGCCTTCATTTTACATTCTTCTTTGTAGGGCAATACTTTGAAGGATGTTGAATGAAGGATAGAATGTAAAATGATGGGTAAAACTATGATGGATAAAACTTTAACGGATGTTGAAGGAAAGTTATAACTATGAAGAAAGTAGATGAAGGTGAGCACTATGAAGGATGTAGAATGAAGGTTATTAGAACTATGAAAGATAAAGAATAAAGGTTAGAACTCTGAAAGGTTGTAAAATGTAGAATGTAAAAAAGGTTAGAAATATAAAGGATCCATAATAAAGGGAAGAAATTTCAAGGATATAGGTGAAGGTTAGAACTACTAAAATTGTAGGATGAGAAGTATAATGAAGAATAGACTTATAAAGGATGCAAATGAAGGTGGTTAGAACTATGAAAGACATAGAATGAAGGTTGGAACTATGAAACATGTATAATGAAAGGTAAAATTAATGTTAGATTTATGAAGGATGTAGATGAAAGTTAGAACTATGAAGAATATATAATGAAGGGTAAAACTAAATAAATGTATAATGATAGATAGAATGAACTATGAAGTAAGTAGAGGATGGTTCAAACTAAAAAGAATATATAATGAAGGGTTAAACTTTGAAGGATGTAGAATGAAGGATAGAACTATAAAGAATGAAGAATGAAGATAAGAACTATGAAGAATGTAAAAATGAAGGATAGAACTATAAAGGACATACAACCAAGGCTAATACTTTAAAGGATGTACAACTATAAAAGGTAGAACTATAATGGATGTAAAAAATTGTAGGACACTGAAGGGTAGAACTATAAAGATTAAAAACTAAGAAAGGTTTTTTCAGAATAAAAAATATTGGTTGGTATGGGGGTGTAGCTGGAATTATATCTTTTCTGTTTGACCACTCATCTAAACTCTTTCAAACATTTTCTCTCTCTTGCTGTCTTGAATATTCATATTCCAGCTACACACACATTATAGATGATCCTGAATGACGTCTTTATTGACAGCACCAATTTCAACCAATTTCAACCAATCAGAACACTCCATTTCACAGTCACATGATCAAAATTTCATCTAATATGAGCCTTCCTATTGGTCACCATCCTTGTCATAAAAAACACCACAAATCACTACTAAGATACATTACATTAAATCTAAGCATCACCTATCATCAACATTTTATTTTTATTTAATAGAATTTCCATTCTTAAACCAGTGTTTACCAAAATTTGTTAATTAATTAACTTTGCTCTGTTTTAAATTAAAAAGGGGTTTTATAACACAGCAAATACTATTTCAATAATATTGGACACTGTGTCTCTTAAATCTGATAAATTGATTGCGAACAAATATAAAAAGAATATCATACATTGCAGTAGTTTACTAATTTTAATAAAACTTCTCTTAGATTTCTGATAGATCCATGGCAATTAAAATTATTTACAAATAAATTTATTACTTTGATCTTACATTATTACTGTTATGATTGACTAAATCTACAGACTTTTCTTCTCTAGGACAAGCTTCTGCTTCTTCTGCAATGATCATGAATGTGTTAAGACTGTCAATGGAGTTTACCCATTTTCAAAAACAATGACAGTTTGTATGAGGTAAAACCAATGGATCAACTTTAATCCAAATTTCATTTTTCAAATTTATGCTGAGCTTAGGTCATTTCCCATGATCTATGAAAATCCTGTGCAGAAATGGTCCATCACTGTATCATTTGGAACTTTAAATGAAGACGAAAAAGACTTTGAGGTACCTAATTAACATCTCTATTTGAATAAATCTGAATTTTGATGATTAATCTACTTTTAATTAAAATGTCCCAAATTGGAAAACATAATTTAAGGATGGAGTTTTGATTGGGTTTTGGGATACTGGTCCTTGGCTTGGATTTAAAACAAGGTAAGGTAAACAAATAATGTACATTGGCATGTATCACAGTTAATTTTATATTTGAATGAAGAGGATCTGATTATATATGGATTGGGCTTGGTACAGAGGTTCCCGAGTTACAAACATGGCATCATATGTGCCTCTCTTTTGATCTGGAGAATGGAGAAGTAAAGGTAAAATGATTAACTTAGTAATTATGATTAACTTTGAAACTTTATTTAACTCAAGAATGTCAGAAATTCTAACCTTTCAAGATAACTTTATCAATTATGGACTTATAGCTGAGTAATTTTTTCCTTCTTCATGAAAGCTGTTTGAAAATGGAGAACAGTCACACACAAACAAGCATGATTTGTTGATAAACTTGCATCAAAGGTTTAGCAATTCTTTTCAAATGGCATCTCCTGGTTGTGCTTGGAGACCAATTTTCTCTGGCTACATGTCCATGTACGGCAAGGTGAGGATTATTTCTAGTTTAGATAATTTATCATATAAATAACTTATCACTTTTAGGTGACAGACATGCAGATTTTTAGTAGGATTTTAACTGATGAAGAAATGATGGAAATTACAGGTGAAACGTAAATTTTAAAATTTCTTTCTTATATTTTTAAGGGCAAAAATTCTCTTGATCAGGATGTAAAGTGTCAATGCAGGGAGATGTTATCAGTTGGGAAAATACTGCATGGATGTTAGTTGGAAGAAAACAGATTTCTGAAAGAGAGGTTCTAATAACAAGTCACCTTTAATGTGTTGCTAATAGAAACAAAATTACCAGGTTGTGGATTTTGAGACTACAGTCTGCAAAATGTCAACAACAAGCTTAATCTTTATTCCTGTAAAATTAACCTATATTCCTGGAACAGAAAACATGTGCAGGTAAATGAGATGAAATTCTGAAGTTCTTGTACAATTTATGAATCTTTAGATATTATTAACATACCACTGTCATTTTTCTTCTAATTAAATAGAAGGAGAGAGGGTATAGTTAGATTTCTTCAAAACTTGTGCAGCCTTGAAGAAAGGTTTCTAACAGAGCTAAAAATGAAGAGAGTAAATTGCCTCCTTATAACTGCACACTTTTCCAAACACAAATATTGCTTACAACTAAAATAAATTTTAGGGCAGTTTCCATTGATTTTAAGACTTTGTTACTGTGCACAAACCAATATGAACATTATGGTACCAAAAAAAGATATAAAATATTAAAATTTATTTTAGAATTTTTTTAATTTAAGCAGGCTTAAAGGAAAATTGTGCAAAACTTGCTTCAAGTGGAAATCCTAACATAAAGCCTACCTACATACACTTTATAATTTTATTTCAGAAAGATGTCAGGACATCCTGCAGCATTTCAAACCCAGGAAGAATTTAGAGACCTGATTATCTTTATCAATGATCAAAGAATATTAAACTCTGTTTGCTCTACTCAGCTTTTAGATTCAAACAAATCTGAGTTCAGGTCAGACTTATTAAGATTAGCTCTGCATTTGTGATTTTAAATTTCAAATATAGGGCTTGGGTTGGAATTAATGATCTAATTGAAGAAGGGATTTGGAGAAATTCATTTACTGGAGAACAGGTGGCTTTCTGTAATCAATGCTAAGTAACCCAGTTTGAAAAATTTTATAACTGAAATGCAAGCATTGTCATGAATCAATGTGGGTTTAAAAAAAAATATAATTTCACTAAGAGACTAAGTCTTTGCCACAAACCAGAAAAATCCCCTTTTCTTTGCATCCTGATGGTGAAAAACTTTGATCTTCCAAACTTTGATTTTTTGATCCATTAGTTTGCAATGTCTAAAGTCAATGATATTGGGTTGCATTCATGTATCATCTCCATTAGAAATTATTGTGGCAAACACTCTGACCCTTTTCTTGTCACATTATTACAGTCTACAATTAAATTTACACTTTTTGATCATGATATGAAGGTGAATTATCTGAACTGGTTACCTAACAGACCTTTCACTGGCGGTGAGAAATATAACTGCATGGAGCTAGTTGCTGAAACAATTACAACAAATTCTTCAATATCTTTGATTAGTGAGGGTAAGGTTGCAGATAGTGAATGCTCCTATACCTCATGCCCTGTATGTAGATTAGAACAGACAGTCAGGTAATTAAGGCATCAGAAAATCAAAGTGATGGACAAAATCTGTTTCTTAAAATATTGCCTACAAATTGAGTAAATGATCAAATTTCACAAAGTTTTAAAAATAGTAAAATTTAGATTTATCGATTAACAATAGAACTATTCAGGAAAGTTTCTGTGAGGGGTCTCTGTGCAAATTCTCTTTTTAACATCATGTATTTGTATAATTTGGACTCTGAGGGCAGCATTTTATATTTAGGAATTTATTCATCTTTTGTCACATTTGATAAGGCCAGTATAATTATTTGAAACAGTCATTAAAGAAATCCTCAGATATACATTTTGTGAGAACTTCAATTTGATAATTGATTTTCTTCAGAGCATACAGAAATGGTTGTGGTATGACAGAAAGGATAATACTAGCATTGCATCATCTTCATCTTCTATGGGTTCCTTGCTCTTGGGATTAAATATGTTTGATTTCAGGTGGTTAAAACATTTGGAACAATCATGATGAATATCTATTTTGTGTGCTTAAACAGATGATATTTTTTTCCACAGAAACAGTGATAATAATTGTCATTATCTGTTTAGTGGTGTAAATCAAGATCCTTGTTTAATAAATACCAATTCTGCTCGTAAACAGATAATGTTTACAACATGTACTGATGAAGAGTTTACATGCAATGATGGACTTTGTATTGATATTGAAAAAAGGTAATCATCTATTTAGATATTTTAATATTAAATAAATTACCATTATGTTATAAAACAGGTGTGATCAGACCACTAATTGTTTGGATGAATCAGATGAAGACAATTGCAAAATGATATTTATTAAAGAGAACTACAAGAAAACTGTTCCTCCATTCAGGAAAACAATTACAAGCTCTCAGAGCATGCTTTATTTACTTATTTTAATATTAACTTTAAACATACTTTTTTTCGATTTGGTTTTTTTTTTTATTCTACAGATTTTTGTTTAAGATAAATGAATAGCAGTAATCATAGAGGGGATGACTTTTTAAATAAAAATATACAGAGCATATGAATAAAAAGTGTTTGCCAATAGAGCATAAGACCATAAGACCACATAGAGCATAAGACCATAAGACCACATAGAGCACTATGTTATAGCACCAATACCTCTCATGCAGCAAAAATGCAAAATAATAGATTGTAATATTTTCTTTTTATATAATTTTCTTTTTAGATATGATATTGTTAATGAGTCAAATGTTCCAGTGAAAGTAAATATATCTTTTACAATAAAGGATGTTATCAGCATTCAAGAAATAAATCATGTTTTCACTTTAAAGGTATTTAAAAGAATCAATGATTTGATAATTTAATCTAAAATGCAGAAATAATTTAATTGAATGACACATCTATACAGTTTGCCCTGACATTGGATTGGTATGATTATCGCCTGACATATTATAACCTGAAGAAAACAAAATCTTCGAATACTCTTGCAGCAGATGAGATGGAGAAAATTTGGATTCCATTTGTAGTATTTGAAAATACACAGGACAATGAAGCCACAATGTAAAATAGTTTAAAAAACAAACTTTTACATAATTACTTTACAATTAAGATAGAAATCTTTATACTGAGAGAAACAATATTTAAGTTTAATGATTTTCTTAATTGGGGCTAAACTTGACACCATATGCTCAGTCAGTCTGTATTGGGTTAAAATTTTCTTACACTCTAGTTATATTTCAAATACATGATTTTAATTATCTCATTTATTTATAATACAATTTATTTTTCACGTGTGAAACCTGATTTTTTGATATGTTTTAAATCTATATTAGTGTGTCAAGAAATAGTGAAGTCACCATATACCGTGAAGGAAATTTTGTCCGAAGTCCTCCTGAGGTGTTGGAAGAACTTAACATATTCGATGGTTAGTAGTAGAGATGTCAACGTTTTGATTTTTCTAGATTTTAAGATTTGAACAAATGTTCTATATGTTGCGTTGAATTAAAATGTTCAAGCCTTAATGTTTCTAACGTTACACTTTAATAAAATAATATTGTTTCTAAATGAAAGCATTGCAAGATTTTTTTCCGTGATAATTACATATTTTTACTCACCCTGTATGTTGCTGTTGTATTGTTAACCTTTTTAGAGAATGTGCTGAAGAATATGCATTATGCAATATAAAGATGTTATAATATTATTATGTTTAACCATTTTTAAAATTTGTAAATGAAAGTTTTTAGCATTAGACTTAAACTCAAAGTGTGTCTTAAAGGGNGAGGGAATTCTTTTTCACTGGAGGGGTTTGAAAAAACGCTTTTTACAATTCAAAACTTTACGCAGGGCGATTTACATTCCACTGGAGGGATTCAGATGTCCTTCCCGGGGGCTTATAATTCCACTGGAGGGATTCAGTTATCCTTTCTAGGGGTTTATAATTCCACTGGAGGGATTCATATGAATGAAAAAAATTTTAAAAATAAAAGTTTTTATTTTTGTAAAAAAAATTGAAAATCTTGAAAATCCGCAAATTTTTTATAAAATCCGCGAAATATGTTTTTTTTCATTTTTCAATGTTACAAAGAGAACATGTTCACAGCTGAAATATAAGATGGGCGCGAAGCGGCCTAAATGCCTAGTTAAAGTATATTAGCTGATTGATGGATCAGTTAATTTACAAATTGCCTGTTCGTGTTATTTCATCAAATTTTGGAAAGGGATAGTAAAATTAATATTTTAGCGGTCTGTTTAATTGACATTTTTTCATGATTTCGATCTTACGGCCACCATTCCTCCCCTCCCCTCTTTTTTTGGGGTTATTTCTAATTGAAAATTTGAAAATAAAAGGTATAGCTACTACTTTCCTAAAGACAAGGTACTAATGCAAGGAAAGTTATTTCAGATGTGTACGCATTTTTTGTACTGCAGTGTACTGTCTTTGGGCGGAAAAGTAAACACAGCCTACCATGGAATCAATTTTTCACAAAAATAATCCATGAAATATTCTGGTCATAAGAAACTATTATGTGAATTTTCAAAATTCTCAAAATTAAATGCTTTTATCCTCCTAGGATACCAGACGAACACTGATGCATCTATTCTTGTTTACAAATTCCCTCCAGAGAGAACTGGTTTCAGTATGAACGCAGAGTATACGAGACCGCAATTAACTTCCCTTGCATTAGTAACTTGCCTATTGTTATGCCATTATAAACATACAGGGTGAGTTAAAAAGAATTGTGAATAGCGAGATCTTGCATGTAATATAGAGCATTTTTTTTGCTAATCTTATTTTTGAAATATATATTTAAAACCTTTAATAGACCATTTAAAAAACTCTGCAAAACCATTTTTTTACTCAAAATTAGATGAGTACAAAAACATATAAATATTATTTCTATCACTATTAAATTTTTTTCTGAAACTATTGTGTACTTTATCATTTCTACTCACTTCATCGTCAATTTCATAATATACGTGCTATAAAGTAATCATCGTGCTTTAAAGTTAAATTAGCTATACATTATAGCACGTGTGTTAAAAAGTTTTAATAGCTTCCCGGATTTTCTCAAAAAAAATAAGATATTTCCAAAAGATTTTTTTCAGTCGAAATGAAAATAAAATTGAAATTAACTTTACATTTCTATTTTTTTTAAAGCTTATTTGATTTTAAAAAGCCATTGAAGTAAGACAAGTTGCACAAACGTTTCATAAAATTACCTAAAACACTATTATTTTGGCACAACGTGCTATTAAGTTTTTGGACTAAAATTTCTTCTATATCTTGAAGGTTCTCGCCTTTTAGATAATATTTTTATTCCTCACTAAAGCTCGAGACTAAATTAAATCTAAAAACGCTCTGAACCTTCTCGATAAAGAGAAAAATTTTTTCCAAAAACTTTTTTACACTGCGAACCAAAATAACCGTGTTGTAAATATTTAAAACAGTTCAGATGATTAGTTTTAGAAAGAAAGCGCGAAATCAAATTCAGAAAATCCGCAAAATTATTGCTATAATAGTCATTGGCTCCTCAATTTTCAACAGAACGGAGAACAGGTCTTCATGAGGCGTGTTTAACCATTTTCTCTTTATAAACGCAATAGATAGAAGTAAGATTAGAAGTGATCACCTTTTCTTTTCGACGCAAGCCTATACCCCCCTTACATTTTTCGCAAACACTCCCATTAAAGAGATAGGTCCAAGGAAAATAATTCGAGTCACGGAAGTTCGTAGTAAGATTTTGATTCCACTGGAGACCACCAGAGGGAATTCTTTTTCACTGGAGGGGTTTGAAAAAACGCTTTTTACAATTCAAAACTTTACGCAGGGCGATTTACATTCCACTGGAGGGATTCAGATGTCCTTCCCGGGGGCTTATAATTCCACTGGAGGGATTCAGTTATCCTTCCTTGGGGTTTATAATTCCACTGAAGGGTTTCAGATATCTTTCCAAGGGGTTTATAATTCCACTGGAGGGATTCAGATATC